TCCAGATTTTGGGAATAAATCGTTGTATCGAAATGGCATTTCCAAAAATTTCAAAAAAACTTTTTCACAATAATCGTGTCTATATTTGGATTATTTTAAGTAATTTATATGGACTTTATTGGCTTTTATTCCGACATCCTTATATTTTTAACGGAGTAACTTTTGCATCTTCCTTTGAACCTTTAATTGGATATAGAGATTTTAGAATGGAATTAGTAATTTAAAATCTAATTTAAATATATCTAGGTATTTTCAGCTCAAAGAAGATTTGAGAGAAGTTACTATACACAATACAATATTGGCTGTTGGTTCTCCTATAATTTATTTGATTTTTTCACTTTGTGTTTTCTTCAAAACCCGTGAATTAATTGACAGTGTTCCCAAAGAGGAGAAAATGGTTAAAATTTTATTATACCTCACTTTTAAATAATAGGAAGGTTTTTCTGGGAGTTAGTTAGCTTTCTGGGAGTTAGCTCCTGAGAATTTGAAAATCACTCAAATTCTCCCTTTCCCTCAAAATTCACCCAAATACTCCGATGTCCCTCTTAATCCACCCAAATCCCAAAACGAAACTTCGTCAAAATTCCACTTCTATTCTACGGAAATGTTTTGGAAGTGAGGTACGGACTTCTGAATATCCTAGGCAAGGTCCGGTCTGGATTCGCTCACTAGTAATTATTGCTTCACCCCGATGCTAGAGGAGGTACATAATCGAGAAGGGGTTACAATTCGAGGGAGGTATGGTATCTTAGATAAAAGTGTTTTTATTTAAATTTGAAGTTCAGTAATAGTCAGAGGTAGGTCGGAACAGTAAGAGGTGTCTGAAATCGGAAGAGGAAATCGGAACTGGCTCAAAAGTCGGAAATCGGAAGAGGAAATCGGAACTGGCTCAAAAGTCGGAACCCAAAAATCGGAAATCATAAATTTTTTTGGAAATCGGAATTCCGACCCACCTCATTTGTCAGGTAATAGTATATTAAATTTGAAATATTTTAAGGTCTTTCTTCAAGTATTTATTATTTCACTATTAAATACATCCGCAGGTATTTCCTACGCTTACAATATGAATCATTCAAATCTTGGAATTTTGCCATTAATGATTGCCCATTTTACTTGGTTACATATTCATGGTAGGTTTAATCAAAAAACAAATTTAAGTATTTTTTTTAATTTTTTGTAGGGTTCCCACCAGTAATTTACTTAACATTAAACAAAACTGTTCGGACTGACACAAAAATTCTACTTGGAAAATTTTTTAGTTTATTAAAGAAAAATCAAGCTCCAAATATTGTTGGACCTGCCCAAAATGGATGAAGCAAATATGTTGCGTATCAGGGGTGTGCCGAAACAGATTTTATAAAGCGAAAGACAAAACAACAAAACACTATGTTGTGTATTTTGTTATTTGAATAAAGATTTGCAATTTTAGTGTTTAAGTAAAGCAGCTGGGCTATAACTATTTCTCTCCTTTAGCTAGGACAGAAGGTTAATCGGCGGCTGGGAGCAAACCAGCATCTTCAGTAGTAAGGTTGGCGGTTCCGGGTATCCGGAACCGAAAAAACCTCGGATATCCGGAAATTTTCGGTTCGGATATCGGTTCGGATATCCGGAGATTTCCCAGGAACCGCCATCCTTAGACAGTAGACCTGACTGAAGTGATAGCCATCCACACCACGCCGCCTACTGCATAGCCTTAGGAATTAAATAGCTATATGCTTTACATTTACTTGATAAAAATCTATTTATCTTAATCAATCCCCAAGAGACTACCAAGGATAATTAATAAGTATATATACGGTAGTTAAAGACCCATTCTAATATCAAAGAAAATTATTAAGGGGTAATAGAGTAATATGTAGATATCCGAACTTAAATTATTTTAAAATTTAGATTTAAGAAATATTTTAAAGAACGTCTCTAGGGGATATATTAAAATAAATGCATATGTATCTTTTTCCTTAAAAAATTTTTTTTCGCATTTTTTTTTGCTTTTCACATTTTTCCTATATTACTATGCAAAAGGCTTAAAGCATAAAATAGCAACTTGAAATTTCATAAATTTCGAACATATTATGAATTCTTCCGGGAAATGTTGCTGTAAGTTAATTTAGATTATCAGAAAGGGCTCCCGGACAATCCGTCAGTGGACAATCCGGCAGTGGAAAATCCGTTAGTGGACAATGCGTCAGTGGTCGGACAATCCGTCAGTGGACAATACGTCAGTAAACAAATTTGTATTTCTTACCTCTACCAAACCTACCGTAGCCAAAAATTTTCATTTTTTCGTGTTGGGGATTATAAGAGATATTGAAAATTTTGAGATTAATGAGGAAATCGGCAAATTGGCCGGATTTGGTAGATCTGGATATGGGAGACAATGGGCAATTTGGATGAAATAAGCGAATGTCAATGGATTTGAATGATATCGGAGATTTGGATGGATTAGATCTACGTGATTAACGGGTGGGATTATTGTTGGATTTTGATAAATATCGTGGGACTATGGCAACTCGATGAACAATAGAGATTGCTTTTAGATGAAATCATGGAGCCACCTCCAAATCCTCTTGATCAATCTATATCCCTTAATATCCCACTTAATCCACAAAATCCCTCTTAATCTCCCAAATACCTCGATAACCACCATAATACTCCGAAGCTATTGTATCTCCCTTAATTTTACGATATATTGAACTCCCCGTTATCTCCCATGTCCAGATCTACCAAATCCGGCCAATTTGCCGATTTCCTCATTAATCTCAATATTTTCGATATCTCTTATAATCCCCAACACGAAAAAATGAAAATTTTTGGCCACGGTAGGTTTGGTAAAGGTAAGAATTACAAATTTGTTCACTGACGGATTGTCCACTGACGGATTGTCCGACCACTGACGCATTGTCCACTGACGGATTTTCCACTGCCGGATTGTCCACTGACGGATTGTCCGGTCACGTCAGAAAGTAGGATTGTCGGTTCGGTCCCAGATATCCAAAGGATTTTCCAAGAATCGGCAACCCTTTCGGGAAGTCCTTATATCCCAAATAAGGTTGGGGCCCGGTCCGGTCCAAAAGATCGAGTCGGGTATTGAATTTGGGCCCGAAAAAGACTCGGTCGGGCCGGCCCGAAAAAAATGACTCGAACGACGGCCCGACTCGAAAACCCTAATCCCAAAAAATATAACCGGAATCAACTTCATGCCTTGGGGAGGGTGTACGGAATTTTCGTCTCTGGAACATTCGTCTCCAAGACTTTTCGGAACTTTCGTCTCCAACATTTTCGGAATTTTCGTCTCCAGCGGAATATTCGTCACCAAGGAAATAAACGGAATTTTCGTCTCCGCAATTTTCGTCTCCGCTAGGAATTTTCGTCTCCAGAGGAAAACTTTCCCCGTTGACGGGCAACTTCCCCCGTTGCCGGAACAACATCCCCGTTGACGGAACACTATCCCCCGTTGACGGGCAACTTCCCCCGTTGCCGGAACACTATCCCCCGCTGACGGGCAACTTCCCCCGTTGCCGGAACAACATCCCCGTTGACGGAACACTATCCCCCGCTGACGGAACAATTTTCCCCGTTAACGGAAAACTATCCCTCGCTGACGGGGATGTTGTTCCGACAACGGGGGAAGTTGCCCGTCAGCGGGGGATAGTGTTTCTTCAACGGGGATGTAGTTCCGGCAACGGGGGAAGTTGCCCGTCAACGGGGAAATTTTTCTTCTGGAGACGAAAATTCCTAGCGGAGACGAAAATTGCGGAGACGAAAATTCCGTTTATTTCCTTAATGACGAATATTCCGCTGGAGACGAAAATTCCGAAAATGTTGGAGACGAAAGTTCCGAAAAGTCTTGGAGACGAATGTTCCAGAGACGAAAATTCCGGCACTCTTGGGGAGTGGACCAGGGTTGTGCATCATGGCGTTTTGCGTTCATTTTTGGCCGATTTTTGGCGTTTTGCCTTTGGCGTGATTTAAAAATTTGAAATATTAATGTTTGGCGCGTCACGAAAAAATTTTGGCGCACAGCCCGGGAGTGTACGGTGTCTAGCCAATAATTTGATCTTTATAAATTTGTGAAGGATCTTGTTAAATAATGTTCCCAAATTCTGTGTCGGTCTAGAAAATATTTTCCATTGAATTTTGATTTTAAATTCCTTCAAAATTTTATCAATATTTCTAGGCGCCTGCCACCATTGTCATTGCAAAAAGGCCCCTTTACAAAGCAAACAATGGCGCTGTGTTGGCATTTGCTTTGGCCAATTTGTGCTTATTGTGTTTGTAACTGCTTGTGTAATGCTTATTTACAATATAATTAAAAGGTAAAAGAAAAAATATTTTTTGTTTAATGGAACTGAGGTTAGGGTACTTACGCCTCTTCCCCCCCCCCTTCCCCCAATCTGCATTTTACTTTTTGTACGAAATGGTCAGCCAATTCTTTCTCACATAATTTTAAGAAATTTCTCAGTAGTTCTTAAGGAAACTGTATTTCTCCACTGTCGGAATTTTGGAATAATAATTAAAAAATAACTTATCATTAATTTTCTATGAGACCCTCAATCTCAGACAGAAACGCAACCCCTAATATAAGCGCCCCCTACGAGAGTAAAATAGAAGCACACGTGGTTCTAACAGAACACATACGATATTTAAACATTAAGAGACCCACTTAAATCTATAAATAAACATTTTCTAAATTTTTTAAGTCGAATGTATGCAAATGATTAAAGAAGGATGATTTTTCAAAATCTTTTTATTCATTGAATAAATATCCAGATTTACAAATAAATCAGCAAAAAATTATCCTCATTTTAATTTAAAATACAATCATTTTTTATTTAAGATTATTTTTTAGAGGTTGTCACGAGCCAAGAAAAAAAATTTTTTTCAGAAAATTTTCAAAATAAAAAATTTTAAAAATCAAAAAAAATTTCAGAAAAAAATTTTTTTTAATTTTTTCTGGCCATTTTTAAAGAGACAACCATTTTTTAAAAACATGAAAAAATTTAATGTGTTGAAGAAACAATAAATGAGACAATATTTCCACTGTCCATAAAATCCTCGTCCTTCTCCAATTTTTCTTTTCCAACACAACCCTTTTCTACATTAAAAACAACCATTGTTGGAATAAATTTAACTCCAAATTTATCATCCATTTTTATTGGATTATTTGGATTATTCCATCTAAAAATTAAAAGAAAATTTTTTTTAATTAAAATTTAAATTCACTTTTATCCCCCCCCCCTCCCAATTAAACGGTTCCACGGTTTCTAAGATGGTCTATGCCTCCTTTTCCTAAGCCGTAATTTCTGCATTTTTTACATGGCCTTTCTGCCTCATTCTTGACTTCTTGGCCTTCCAAAATTCACAAAAATGCCCTCTTTTTGACCTATTTCGCCCCCTTTTGAGAGCCCATGCCCCCTTTTGGAGATTTGGAAAAGGCCACCCTGGATCAGACCCGATCGTTTTTTTCTAAATTAATCCGGTCTGGAAATAGTCCAGATAACGAAAAAAACTCTCTAATTTGAGACACCAACCCTAGAAAATCTATTCGAATCCGGCATTAACTATGGAATAATCAAGAACTTTAGCCTCACATTATAACTCTGTCCATTTCCATAGGATTTTTAAAATAACCCATCCAAAATTATAAAAAAAAATTTTTTATAAAAAAATCTCCTCACTCTTCCTTATTTCCAACATTACAGACCAAAAAAATGACATTCAAAGCTTTCAATTCCAGCAAAGTTTCTTCAATTGAAGGTTCTGCTTTAACACAATCAGAACACCACGATTTTCCAGTTTCTTCTAATTTTGTTCCAACAAAATAAATAATTATTATCTCATCTTTGGGTAATTCTGATATTTTTTTATTTAACTCGTCATGACCAAAAACTTCAATTTGTTTCATTTTAGTAAATTAAAATATTTTTTTCTGAAAAAAATTTTTAATAGGACACGCCCAATTAGGCGCACGGTCAAGTAGGCGCAAAGCCATGATTAGCTGGGAAATTTCCAACCCTTATCAATTTTTGTACAAATCTCTTTAGCTCGATGAGAGGAATTGTTTAATACTATATTTTGAAAGATTCGAAAATTTTGAAGCAAGTTATGACTTTGCGCCTACTTGCTTGCGCGCCTACTTGCTTGCGCGCCTACTTAGGCTGTATCAAATTTTAATTAGTAAAAAAATAAAAGTAACGTAAAAGTAAATTTAAAAATATTTCAAAAAATTAATGTAAAATATTTCTATTTTTTAAAAAGAATTTAATTTTAAAAAAATTTATTAAAATTCTTAACAAAAAAAAAATTCAATTTTATTTTTCTCTCCACAAAACATTAACTTGATCAGTTCTATACCTTTGAGTATATGTACATTCTTTTATGGGTGCATTCATTCCACAATTATACATCTCCCAACCGGCCTTTAAAAAATTGATTTAAAAAATTAATTTAAAAAATTTGTAAAAAAGGAGATTTTTAAGGTTTAAAAATTTTAAATAAAAAAAATTCCATAAAACCTTTTGTGATATAAAAATAATTTTTTGAAATAAAATTCAGAAAAAAAAATTTTTTTAGACCCTCTGGATTTAACTAAAAACCCTACCCTTTTTTTAAAAAATTAAGAAAAAATATTTTTTAAAGGCATCTTTACTCTTCTAAAAACTTTTAATTTTTTCTAAATATTTTATAGAAAATCCAAAAAATCATTCCGCCGTAAAAAATTATTTTTTTAACCAAAATTCATTAGAAAAATTTTTTTTAAAGTTCTCCTGATTCAACAGAAAATATTTTTTTGTTGAAAAAAACCTTTAGGCCTTTTAAACGGGTACACCCCAACGTACCGCAGCCCAACGTACCGCGCCCAACGTACCGCAGCCCAACGTACCGCGCCCAACGTACCGCAGCCCAACGTACCGCAGGCCCAACGTACCGCGAGCCCAACGTACCGCAAATCGATACATGAATAATAGTTGTTCCAACAACAACTACAACAAAATATTTGTTATATTGATGGGAGAGTTGACCCAATGACTTGGGAAACATGTTCCGACAATGGGGGAAGTTGTCCTGTCAGCGGGAGAAGATGTTTCAATGACGGGGGAAGTTGTTCCGTCAAAGGGGGAAGTTGTTCCAATGACGGGGGAAGTTGTTCCGTCAAAGGGGGAAGTTGTTCCGTCAAAGGGGGAAGTTGTTCCGTCAAAGGGGGAAGTTGTTCCGTCAAAGGGGGAAGTTGTTCCGTCAAAGGGGAAGTTGTTCCAATGACGGGGGAAGTTGTTCCGTCAAAGGGGGAAGTTGTTCCAATGACGGGGGAAGTTGTTCCGTCAAAGGGGACTGCGGTACATTGGGCTGCGGTACGTTGGGCTTGCGGTACGTTGGGTTGCGGTACGTTGGGCGCGGTACGTTGGGCTGTGGTACGTTGGGCTGCGGTACATTGGCCTGCTCCCCTTTTAAACCTTTAGTCATATAAATAAAGATGATTTTTTGGAATAAAATTCATCCAAAAAAATTTTTTTATTTAAAACAAAGGATACATCTTTTGTTGAATCCGGAGAACATAAAAAAAATTTTTTTAATGAATTTTGGTTCCAAAAAAATTTTTTAAATAAAAAAACCTAACTTTTTATTTAATTTTTTAAGAATTTTATAGAAAATTCAAAAAAAAACATTCCGCTGTAAAAAATAATTTTTTTAGAACCAAAATTCATCGGAAAAAATTTTTTTAGAACCCTCCGGATTTAACGAAAACCCTAACATTTATTTTAAAAATTAAAAAAAAATTTTTTTAACAAAAAAAAAACCTGAGCTATCATAGCACCATTATCAATACAAAAACGTTCATCTGTCGCAAATAATTTTGCTTTTCGTTCATTAACCATTATATTCATCATTTGTTGTAAACGTTCATTACATCCAACACCTCCAACGATTAAAACTTCTTTTGAACCACAATGTGCCATTGCACGTTCTGTTATTTCAACCAACATTGCAAAAACTGTTTCCTTTAAAAAATAAATTTAAAAAAATTTTTTAATTTTCTAGGTTTTGTAAGGAAATTCAAGCGTGTCAGTCTAATAAACAGTCCAAACAAAATAAAATCCTTGTCAAAATATTTTGATTAAACGGTGATTTTTTTGCCCCTCTTCCTAAAAAAATAATCCATAGAAAAATATGTATAAAACTCAATTTTCACAAACTAGGGTTGTTGGCGACCTGTTACTAACCGGTACCCCCGATTTTCTGTTAATCTAAATTTTAGAAACCCGGTTTTCGGTTGTGAGTTTTAGGCAAATACAGGTTTTATTTTGGGGGAATTTTTAATAAAATCACTCATTTTCACAAATTCCCGGTTTTTCAAATTTTCTAAAAACTGTAAATTTTTGGCAAAAAATTTCAAAAATTCCGGTTTTAAAACCGGTCGCCAACAACCCTAGTATTAACAAAAATTAATTTTAAGTGGAATTTTATGTTAACTTTACCCCTAACAAGGAAAGAATTTAGAAAACTGACCATTATGTACGTACTTAAGAAAGAAAAAGATGAGGGGGCAACCTTGGTATTACCAAGAATTTTTCCCCAAAGAAAGATTTACTAAAAAAATTTCTAGCCCAAAATTTACTCCAAAAAACAATTATTTAAATATTTTTAAAAAACCTGCAAAGAAAAACACAAATCAGCATCAGAATATTTTCCAGATTTAACAAGTATTGGAGCTTCTTTTTCAATATGTGAAAGAATTCCAGACAAAGAAATATCCATTCCTTTGACAACATAAGGGAGTTGGTAAAAACGAGAACCTTTTTTAGCCAATTGTTCAATATTATAACCGGGACTAGGTTCATTTGAAAGTTTTAGAATACGAGCAAAACGATCAAGACAATTACCAACAGCAATATCCAAAGTTTCTCCAAAAATACAATAGCATTGATTTAAATAAGAAATGACCTAAAAATTAAAATTTTTAGGGAAAGGTTTATGAAAAAAATTCTTAACCAGGGAAACTCATTTGGCGCGGAGGGGGTCAAAATCTTTTTTAACATCCTAAGCTCCTAGCCGAAATGAGAAAAAAAGAAAACAATTTGGAAGGAGAATGACAAAAAATGGATTTTATACTAAAGACGTAGCCGGGAAGGGTGAAGGGAAATGAAAAAAACCCTTGAAATCGACCCCCTGGCTACGCCACTATTTTTGTACTAAAAATACCTAAAAATCAAACTCACATCCATATAAAAATCAAAATTTTTCAAAACTATTCTAGAAGGAAAACCTGGGTTAGGATGGTTTTGGTTGTCAAATGTTTCAATCCCATCCAGAAAATGGAGGAAAAGGAAAATATTGCCAGGGGAATGATGAATAAAAATGAATTTCCTTTCGCCTACGGCCCCAAAAATCACAAAAATTCGCTCTTATACATGAATAAACCTGTGTATTTCCACCGCTAACATAAAGAATAACTGGATTTTTAGCACCAGTAATTAATCTTCCCATTTCAATATGTCCAACACAATGATTGACTGGAATAACAGGCTTTTTCCATAATTGTGCAAGTGTACGGGCAACGACAGCGCCAACCTGCAGAGGCGCACCCATTCCTGGTCCTTTTGTGTAAGCAATTGCATCAATCTCTTCATATGGATCCGAAAATAGAAAAGATTTTAAATTAAAAATAAAAAAGATTATTAAGCTTTCCAAAAAGCAGGGGCTAGGAGAATAAAATGGTCCAGAACTTTTCTAACGAATTCTTACAGGGAACCATCGCAAATTATGTCTATATATTCACACACCATTGTGTAGAATATGCTCGATAGCCTATTGCCAATTTTTGCCTTTTTTACGGGGACATTTTGGATAATTTTGGGGCTTCAAAGTCTACCATGCTCTACACGAAGGTATTACTTCTGTTTAAAAATTTTTGATCACAGCTCGAATGATTCTCTTTGAAGCTTTTTTCAAAAGAACTTTCTCTTGTCAAAAAAAAAGATATTTTAAAAACCTCTATAGAATTTTAAAGGCTTGGACCAAAACCTCAAAGACATGCAAAAGAAATTTTTAAAAACCTCAATTTTCGCTATTCTCAAAGCTTCAATAACAAGTGATACAACATGCTGTCGATGATGAACTGCTGTTTCGGTTGGACGAAATCCTTCACCAGGGGGAGCATGAAAAGTTCGTCTAGGATTGCTGAGTACTTCACCATCACAAACAATGCCTACGCCAATCTTATTTGCACCTTAAAAATTTTTTTTAGAAATTTTATGAAAATATAAACAAACTTCCTTCAATTCCTAAAATGCAAACCATTGAAAAAATGAACAAAAAAGCTAAAACTGCTTGAAAACAAAAAATTTTTTATTTAATAATATAATTTTAAGAATATTACTTTTCCAACAGCTAAATTTTAATTTTGGAATATTTAATAAAATAAATTTTATTTTTAATCTTTATAAATAATATAAAATTCGTTCAGGACAATGCGTCAGTGACTATAAATGGAAATCGGTCAGTGGACTAATAAAAGGATATGAAGGGATTAGGAGTAATTAACAAGGCGATTAAAAAGGATATATAGAAGGGTAGTGGGATTAGAAGTTTATTGCGGGATTTGGTGGTTAAGAGAGATATCTGGGAATTTGAGAGACTCAATCGGATAACAGGGTATTTGAGAATATTAAAAACATTGGAATAGTCAAAATTGAAAGGATATCGAAGGATTTTCATGGATAAAGATGGATGTGAAGACTGTGAAGCGTGTTTAAGGAAATAACAGAAATTATGATTTGGGTGGATTAGATGGATATCGGGATTAAAAAGGGCATCTAGAAATTAAATAGATAAGGTAAAGATATCGAGGGATTTGCGAGGATCAAGAGGGCTTATCTAAAAACTTTAGGTTCGAAAGGATATCCCTCCATTAGTCCAATGATTCAGTGCCGATTACCAAAAATTTTCAAATGTCGCATTGTCCGGGAGCCATAAAATTATATGTCAAAACATTTTAGTTTAATAAATAAAAATAGAGTTCAAAATAGTAAATTTCTAAATTAAATATTTTGAAACAAAACAAAAATCATTACACTGTAAATACTACGAACTCTACTTATTTAATATTAAAAAATAAAAAAATTAAACCTCGTAAAGCGAATAAAAATAAAAAAAAATCTCAAGGTATCCACATTTTAAGTTGTTCCAAATAATCATCTCCACTATCAAAAAAAGGTTTATCCACATCTTCAATTGTTTGTAATCCACAAAGTAGACAATCTCCCAATAACAATTCATCAATTTGTGTACGGACAGAATCTAATTTACGTTTTGCATCTTCTGAAATTTAAAAAATATTTTATTGTTAGCGTTCAAGTATTTTTTTTCAAAATAAATTTCTGTCAGTACGTATGGTTCTAAAAATTGCGCTTTTCCTATGTTTTTCGTATTTAAAATACAAGTTTCCTGTTTTGGTTGTTAAATAAAATAAATTTATTTTTGAGGGAGATTGAAATAAAATTTTTAAAAAATCTAAAAACCTTCTCTCCCATTCTTTTCACCTCGTTGTCTTAAAATGGAATTGATTGTTGCATTTTCCGTTAATTTTTTAAATTCTTTTTTTAGATTATGTTCTTCAGCCAATAAAAAAACAAATTCAGGAGATTTTTGCTAAGAAATGATTTTTTGATTTTTTTAATTTAAAAAGAAATTTAAATTCTTATAAAACCTTCAATCTTTTCTCCAAACAAGATTTATGAAAACAATGTCTACACACAAAAGCAACAAATTGACGTTTAAGCAAAGATTCTCGGCAAAATGAACACGAACTGTTTGCACGAATAACCATAAAACTACAGGAAAATTTTTAAAATTAAAAAAAAATTTCCACAAACCTTGATTTTCCTTTATCAATTTCTTCATTTAATTCTTCAGCCATTTCTGTTGCATCACGTATTTCCATTTGAAGTTTCTTAAAATTATTTTTTTCTAAATTTTGTAACAAAAAGAAACCTTAATTTCATTTGAATATTCTTTAAGAAATCCCATTAATGGCTCTTTAAAATGTTCAATTTTTGTAAATTCAGGAAAATAATCTAAAACATCTTGTATTCGTATTACTCGTTTAGATTCATAAAGTAATGCAAGACATTGAGAAATTGGAGTACCACTTTTTATCATACTTTTTGCTGAAAAACAGATTTATAGAATTAGTGATATGGTCTCCCGGTTGCGTGATCTAAGAAAAAATATGGAACTGAGGCAAGCCCGTCGCCGTGATTTTTTTCGGAAAGGGGGGGGGGCAAACGGGGAAAATTTTTTGCTTTTCCCCATTTCGTGGGTAATTCTCCCAGGGTTCCTCCTGGCCACGGGCCTGAACTGAGGTCCGTCATTGCCTGAGACTTCAGAAAAGTTTACTTTTTAAGAAGTATTTCCATTTTTTTATTTTCACGTATTTCCATTTGAAGTTTCTTAAAAATTAAAATATTTTTTCCAAATTTTTATCAAAATGGAAAAACAGCCTTTAAAAAAAAGGAAAAAAAAAAGGAAAAACAGCCTTTAAAACTTTAAAAAATCTTACAAATTTCTAACCAAACTCTTCTACGCATTTCCATTAAAATAGAATTGGATTGACTATTTTTTGTATCAACAATTTCAAGCAAAGAATCTTTTTCAGCAGTTCTTTTTTCTATTGCCTTTTCTAATTCATTCGCACATTTTTTAGCCAATTCAATAGAAATTGTTAAAGCTAAAATAACTGCGTCTTCATAAAGGCCTTCAATACACAAAAGAAATACTCGACATTCAACAAGACCTGAAAAATTAGTCAAAAAATTGATAAAAAAAATCTTCCTAAAAAGGAAAAAATTAAATTGAAAAAGTAAAAGTAAGGTTGAACAAAACCAGTTAACCGCCCGGTTAATTTTTCCCCGAGGCCGGTCAAAAAGAAAAAAAGACCCGTTACAGGGAAAAATTAACCGCGCGGTTTCGTTCAACCAAAATTAAGGCTCCCAATGAAATAAAAAAATTAAAAAAACCATGTTCCGTGCAAATTCTTAAAGCTTCTGCCATATTAAATGAAGCCTTAGAATTATTATTAATACATTTTTGCATAAAAGGTAATAATTCCATTGGTCGAAATGTTGCATATAAATTAATACAAAAATCAAGAATTGCTCCATTTGTTTGTGTTGGTGTAAGATTTTCAATAAAAGTAAAGATAGAATCAACCTAAAAATTAGGGTTGGACACGATCAATTTTAAAACCGAAAATTTTTAATATTTTTTGCCAAAAATTAACAGTTTTTAGGTAGTTTTAAAAACCGAAAATTTAGAAAAAGAGTGATTTTATTAAAAATTCTCCCAAAATAAAAGCGGTATTCGACTAAACTCAAAACCGAAAACCGGGTGTTTTAAAATTGGAATAACCGAAAACAGGGGGTATCTAAATATTAATAACCGGTAATGTCCGCCTTACTAAAAATTAAAAAAATTTTTTTTTAATTTAATAAAATTAAAGAAAAAAATTTCCGTACCACTTTTGCACGATTCTTTAATTCAGGATTTAAACATTTAAGGAAAGCAGGCAAAAGCTTCAAAGGATCCAATTTGTTCAGTTTTTTGAGCAAAAGAGAAATTAATTCAACAGGCACTTGAGTAATTAAAGCTTCAGAATATTCATAAATTAAATTTGAATTATCACGTTCCAACAAATCAAGAATTTCTTTGTATGATTTTTGAATTAACAAAATTTTGAGAACTGTTTGAGTATCATGTAATTTATTAGCCAAATATAATTGAACATCGAAATCGACATGAGAACTTAAATTTAAAAAATTTATTTTAATTTAATACATCAAAGGTGTGCCCAGAAAAAATTTTTGAAGAGGCTGGACCAACAGGCCCGTAGCCAGGGGGTGAGGGGGGAATCCCCCCCCCCCCCCCCCTCCTAAAATGGGGAAAAGGAGAAAATTTGGGGAAGGGTTTGGGAAAAAAGTGTAATTTTTTGTCCTTCGACCTTCTAAAATTCTTAAAATTTTGGCCTGGAGATACTAAAAATTTGCTGTGAAAAATTTTTTAAAAAAAGGTCAGAATTCTAACCAAAACTAGAGTAAAATCGCAACAATCAACTACAAAATTAACTAACCTAATCATTTTATAGACTGCCGTCTGGTTATCACTAACAGCTTGAAAAACTATTGGTCTATTAAGAAAACAAAAAATTTGATCCTTTAATTGACGAATCTGTGCTTCACGTGTATCAGAAACTTCGCTGGAAGGTCCTCCACTAGAGCTACCCTCAATAATAAAAGCATCCGTTGAACTAGTTACACTTTGACGATGTTCAGCAAGTTCAGAAAGTTGAATATCTAAAAGCCAAAGGACTAACATATCCCTATGCATTCGTTGCTGAAAAATGTTGAAATCCAAAAATTGCAAGAAAATTTACAAAAAAACCTCATTTCCTTGAAAACGACTAAGACGAAGTTCCAAAAAGTGTTTTAAGCCATTTCGACTGCTAGGTCCATCTTTTAACAATAAAAGAACTAATTTTTCAAAAGGTTCATCTGATTGAGCCAAAGCATCAGCAGCAGCCACAAAACTGCAATTTGAAAAATATTTCATCTTAAATAATAAATCAACAATGTTTAAAAAATTGAAAAACAAGACCCTCGGAATAAATCTTATAAAAAATAAGTGAACTTATGTTAAATAATCCATTGATGGGATATTAGGGTGCGGTCGATTTAACATAAAATAGCTAATTATCTAGCAAAGATAAAATTTTCAAAAATGGCCTTGTGTATTTATTTAACAATAAATTGTAGAGATCGGCCTGGGTCTGGACCTTGGCCTGGGTTTTACCTGTACCCAGAGTCCAGGCGCAGGCATTTGACCTTTCTGGATTTTCCCTGGACTACAGGCCCAGGATCCGGCCCAGGCTTTTCAAAAATTTCAATCTCTAATAAGTTTGGCAAAACCACAGAACTATCCTAAAATATCGATTTTTCAAAAATCATTAAAATTCAGTAAATATTTCAAGAATTTTTAAGAAACGTCCAAATGTCCATGCGACCAAACAAGAAAAAAATACTATAAAATTTCTAGCCAATTAAAAAAACAAACTTTCTTTCCATCAAAAATTTTTCTGCTTCTTTTTTCAAAATTATTTGAAATGGACGTCTATCTTGTAATTGATTGGCAACCTTCTTAGCTTTTGCAAATTCTTTCCGTTCCATGAAAAAACGCCAAACTTCACGGCATTCATCATTTGGCCGGTACATAAAAATAGAAGATTCAGCAAAAACCCAAATCATATGAGAAGATGCATCCCTTCCCATTCCAATTATTTTGGGTATACCCTAAAATTGAATTTTTAAAAATTAAGACCCCTCTCTAATTAAAATCACAAACAATAAAAAAATCTTCAAATGCCAGTGTTCTATCAAAAAGTGAAATTGCAACAATTCTGCTGGTATACAAAAGTAACAAATGAAATTCTGTAAGACAAATATCTAAAGGATAATCAAGTCTGCCTTCAGAACGACGATGACTAGAAAAAAATTTTTTTTTCGAAGATTAGAAAAGTCCATAAGATCCCATAGATATCAAGCCGGATCTGGATTTATGCCTTGATCTTTCCTGATCCGGAGTCAAACAAAACGTAGCCAGGGGTTGATTTCAGGGGGGTTAACAGTGTGTGTGCGCCAAAAGTTTGGTGTTTACCTTGACGTCCCGGCAGCTCTTGGAGTCATTTCAAACCATTTTTCAGAGCTCCTTAATTTTTCCTTGCCTCAAGGTCAAAAATTTAGTTAAGGTTCTCACTTAAAATCAAGGTCAAAGATCAAAGTTTTTTTAAGATCTCGATCTCTAATATCCAATAAACCTTACTTTATATTAACATCAATACAAAGACGATCACACCAATCAGATTTCCTTGTATTATTTTCTTCATTACTTGAATCAATTGTCCCAATTGAGAGACCATCAGCTGCTAACCAAGCAAATTTTGGTGTCATTTCTTCTTCAGATTGTAACGGAAAGACGGTGAAAGCACTAGGTGGACCTTCATTTTCTTTGTCTTTGACCATTGAAAGATATTGAGGTTTGTTCTCAGCTGAAAGGATTTATAATTTTATTGAGATTTCTTCTGAAATTGACAGAAAAATAGAATAAAAATGCTGATTGTAAGACTATCGCTCATCAAGACACCCAAAATTTTCAATTTTCAGAGGTCTAAAAATCGGAGAAAAAATCACTGCACACTGTCTTGACCGATTTTGTGGGGATTTTTGGTCTCGGGTGAGGAACTAAAACGAGGAATTTCAATTTACGAAAAGTCGAAAGATTTGCGGACAAAACATGCGGACAAAAAATTTTTACTTTAAATATGGAAAACATGATTTTTGGTTATGTTAATGAACGAAAGTCTAGCCTTAAAGACCAAAAAAAATAATAAAAAACTTGTGAATAAAGACTGCAACACCGCCTCCTGACTTTGATCGACCATAACACTACTCCAAACGGTTCCAACAACTTGAGGAGTAGATCTCTGCTGAGAATTGACTTGTAAATTTGCCGAACCAAAGACACAATAAAGTCGGTTTGGAACACAAATTAAAAGTAAATAATCACAATCTGAACCAGATATTTGGTGAAGATGTAAACCAGAAATTGGCAATCCCTTTTCAGAAATATTTGGATTTAATTGCTTTAAATAATTAATTGAGCCAGAAGAGGAAATATTTGTTTCATAAATTGCTCCTAAAAATGAAAAATTTCAATTTTTGAAAAATTGAAAATTTGCGGACAAAATTTGCGGACAAAAAAATTTTTGCGGACAAAAAAATTAAAAAAAATTTTTTAACCTTTCGTTGTTCCAATGAGAATAAATCCAGTTTCAGACTCCTTGTTAAACTCAAAATTCCAGGCTACCGCACTAACAATCATTCCCTGTTTTTTAAATATTAAAAATAAAAATCAAAAAAAATTTTAAAACCTTCATCCGCCTAATCGGCTTTAAAACACAACTACGCATGTTAACATAAAAATTTTCTCCAGAAACAGTGGTTACTAGACCGTGAATACCAGTAAAATCCAAATGTAAATGTGAAATTCTGTCATGCATTTCGATGTGTAATTTTAGGTCTGAAAAAATTTGAAAATTTTTTTGTGAAAAAATGGTAAATTAAAGTCCGTCCCCACCCCTTTTTTGGGAGCAGGCCAGCGTACCGCGAGCCCAAGGTAACGCAGATCTATAACTTCTTTCAAAATTATCAAATTTGGGACGCTCTGACATGGTTCGATACAACTCGGCGAGTTGTATCCGACAATACCAAAGCGGCCCAGATTCAACAATCTTGAAGAAAGTTATAACTCTGCGGTACGTTGGGGCGTACCCAACCTTTTCTTCCTTCCTAAAAATTTTAAAAATTGTCAGACAATGCTTCTTTCCTCAACTTCACTCTGTGATTGTATGCTATAAGCGAAATAGAGTATGGTTAAGGAAGGAAGCAAAGTCTGAACATTTTTAATACTTTGAGGAAAGATAAGAAGAGGGAGGTACGAACTTAAGAATAACAGAAAAATTAACCTGTTTTCTTAGAATTTTGCAAACGAATATGGAACAAATTTTGTCCGTTAATCGCTACAAGCATCATTCCATTTTGTACTTGAAAATGGCTGATTGAAGTTAATCTTAGAAATGTTTATAATTTTAATAAATTAAGAAAAAATACTTCAAATCAACTTGTTGACGAACAAAAATATCTCTGGAAGTATCACGCATAGTTTTAGTTGAAAAATGAAAAAATAAATTTTAAAAATGCCTAAAAAAATAATTTTAAACTTGCGCCCAAAAAATTTTAGCAAAAATATTTTGCCCAAAAATTTTTCTGTAAATCTCTGTATGAAAATAGCATACAAAACGAGGATTGTGGATAAAATGTCATTTAAAAATACATTTTGCCAGAAAATTTTTTTGGCATATGCAAAATATTTAAAATTAAAATGCTTATTTTTTCATTGAAAAATAATTTATTCTAAAAGCTCAATTAATCTTATCTAGTTTAATAAAATACGGAATTGGTTTGATCATCACGAAAAGTTCTGTCTGATCAATTGTCATTAGAAACCGGTATTTTTGGAAAGCCTGAGCCTGTTCCTGGGTTCCAGGTTTGATTTATAGAATGGGCCGGATCCTTGGCTGTAGTCCAGGAAAAACCCAATCCAGGAAAAACCCAGCAAGGTCAAAAAATGCCTGGGAATGGACTCTGGGTACAGGAAAAACCCCAGGCCTTCGTCCAGACCCATGCTGACCCCAGGCCTTCGTCCAGACCCATTTTACATCTTTAATTTGACAAATTTACCAGTTCCTCCCCCCCCCCCCACTCATTCAAAAAAAAATGAACAATTCAAGACAAAACATTTTATTATTTAAAGAGAAACGGAGATCAAAATTTATGTATTTATATTTGAAAAATATTTTTTGATTTTTAAAACTTTTTTTTGTTTATCAATTCGAGTAATTTAAACAAAAATCAAAAAAATTCATTTTCGTTAAATTATGTATAAGTTGAAAAATGTGCTTTTAATATTTTACTATATATGCATAAATGAAGTAAATCAAAATGTATGGAATGTCATGTATGTGTAGATAATTGTGGAATGATGTATAAAGAAAATGGGTAAAATAAAGAAAAACTTTTTATAATAAATTCAAAAGACTTAAAATTACTACGCATCATAGGGGTAAAGCCCGCGCGCAGCCAAGTAAGCTCAAAGCCATAACTTGCTTCAAGATTTTGGAATCTTTCAATTAGGGTTGTTGGCGACCGGTTTTAAAACCGGAATTTTTAAAACTTTTTTGCCAAAAATTAACCGTTTTTAGTTAACTTTAAAAACCGAAAACCGGAAAATTCGTAAAAATGAGTGATTTTATTAAAATTCCCACAAAATAAAACCGGTATTTGCCTAAAACTCAAAACCGAAAACCTGTTTTCTAAAATTTAGACTAACCGAAAACCGGAGGTACCGGTTAATAACCGGTCGCTAACAACCCTACTTTCAATATTCAGTATTAAACTCTCATCGAGCTAAAGAGATTAATATCAAAAATGTTAAGACCCAGAAATATTCCAGGAAATTTTCTAAGTAGACCCAAAATCGTTTTTATAAATCCTTAAGTGTGCATTTTTAAATTTAATTGGCCAATGGGTGAGGGAAGCTGCCTAAGTGCATAATAAACTCCGGTTGTAATTTTATTTTGAATTGTAAAATTAAATTCTAAGTAAACCAATGATACTGAATAATGGAAGAGAACAATTTAAATAAAGAACAGACAAAAACTAATCAGACTTTATTGAGAGACTAACTTCGATAGTATATTCTCTAATAATTGCCCCCACCCCCTTAATAATTTTTTCACTTGTTGTTTAGTAAGGTTATCGGATAGTTGAAAATCTTCGGATATTCAGATCTGAGCCGAAAATTTCCGGATATCCGGCCTTTTTTCGGATACTGATATTCGAATCGGTGACATTTAGTCCTCATTTAAGGAAAACTAAAAAATAATAAAAAATTATTTTGGAATGTCTAAAGTATAAATATTTAAAGAAAAATATCAAAAATTAAATTGATAGAAAATCAAAAATTTTTAAAAAACAAAAAAAATCCTCTCTCCAATTAAACACTCTCAGTTTTTATTCTATTATGCATTCGTGCAATTGCTCGATCCAATAAACTATTTGAAGTCTTATTTATATTAGTAGAAGCTGTTGGAGAAGAAATTGGACTACTATTAACATCATTATTTCCGGTTATCTGTTCCGGTTCTTCTTTAAAAATTTTATTTGGTGGTGGGGAACTATCTTCATTTTTTGAGTCATTTTTTAGAATATTAGACAAATAATAATAATTTGAAAGGTCCTGATTGTTATTATTATTTGTTGTTGTTATATTTTCGTTATTTACGTGTAATAATTCAGCAAGCTCCTAAAAATTAAATTTTTGTAATATAAAAATTAATTTAAAGAAAATTTAAGGTTGGAGCGGGATGGGTCGAAATTTGGACTTTTTTAGACTGATCTCGATAATTCATCCCATCCCTGCTATGAAGGACAAAAAAAGATATTACAAAAATTTAAAAAGTTAATGGAGGGTAAGTATGGCGGTTCGTGGGAAATCTCCAGAAATACGGAACCGGAACCGATATCCGAACCAAAAATTTCCGAATATCCGGATCAGGTATTCGAACCAAAAAATTTTCGGATACCCGGAGGGTCCTTAATGAAGGGTCTAGAATTTTGTTTAGAAATAGGAACAGAACAAGTTAACGAAAAAAAACAACGGTTATCGATATCAATTTTCTATAGATCTCGATTCACGTACAAATCCCCCAATTCGATATCTAATGTTGATCCCGAAGGTTATTAACAGGGATCGCGCCGACAAAACCAAATCACGAAGGTTGTTAATTCACAATAATTTATTTTTAAATTTCCATTTTTAATTTAAAAGCAATCAAAAAACCCCCTACCCTAAACCATTTTGTTGTTTTTGTATCAGTTGCATTCAATGCCCGACTTAAAACTTGGGCGGGTGTTGGGGTTGTTGAATGGGAAGTTTTAATTGTTGTTATAATTTCTTCTTCTCCTCCATCAGTTTTGACTTGTTTTTCCTAAAAAATTTAAAAAATTTAAAAAAGAAGAGAGTTCCGACCTTATTTCTAGTTCTGTGATTATGAAACCAATTATTAACAGTACGTGGCTGCAACCCAACTTTTGCTGCCAATTGCTCAATTAATTTTGAGTTTGGTCTTTGTTCGTGTATATAAATAAATATTAAAGCTTCTTTTTGCCGATCGGTGATTATTGTTCGTTGAAAACGCTAAAAATTGAATTCTCAAAAATTTCAAAAAAATTTTCGGAAAAATATTTTCTAAAATTTTTCAGAAATTTTCGAAAATTTTTGAAAAAAATTTCAAAAAATTTTTCAAAAAATTTCATAAAAATTTCAAAAAATTTCCAAAAAAATTTTCAATAATTTTTCAAAAAATTCAAAAAAAATTCGAAAAAAAATTTTTCAGAAAAAAATTTCCAAAAATGTTTTAACTATTTTTCAAAGATATTCAAAAAATCTTTAAAAATTGTCAAAAAATTTTCTAAAAATTTTTCAAAAAATTTTTTCAAAAAAATTTTTTGAAAATTTTTTTTTAAAAAATTTACTGGAAGTCTTTTAGTTGCTGAAGGAGGAGCACTTGCATTTATCGGATTTGTTGTTGCTGTATTTGTTGATTTGATCAAAGAATTATTATTATTTATTGAGGTTGGAGTACTTAATTTTCTTTTATTTGTTGAATTATTCTAAAAAATTTTTAGATCCTTATTTATTGAAAAAATACAGACAGACCTCACTATAAAAATACACCTCAAGTTAAGATGGCTAGGTTGTAGAGGTCGGGGAGTTAATGGTAATTAGGGTTGGGGGACCGGTCCACTTCGAAAGATCGAGCTAAGATCTAAATTTGGCCCGAAAAAGACACGGCCGATCTCGTCCGATAAAAATAAAGCCTGTAAAAATGACTCGCACGTCGGCCCGGTCAAAAACCTCAACACTAGTGGGGATAGAAGGAGCTCATCTCACCTCAACGCACCTCCCTGCCAGGGCTGTGCGCCAAAATTTTCGCGTGGCGCGCCAAACGCCAAACGCCAACCAAAAATCGGCCAAAATCAACGCCAAAACGCCAAACGCCAAAATTTTTAGAGTCTATAAAGACTTAAAAATCACTGTTCATCTCATTTTAGCGCCGCAGGCGAATTTTTTTAATTTTCAAGATTCCCAGAAGCCAGAATTCATCCTTTTTTTACCGCCGGAGTGAAATTTTTGAGAATTTTGGAGGCAAAAAAGCCGAAATTTATCCTTTAAAAAATTTTAAAAAATAAGAAATTCATAGAACTCCTTGAGATTAAGGTGGATATGAAGGGATAAAGGGAGTAATGAGTATAACAGAGGTCATGAAGAGAGTAAACGATTGACGGGACTAGTTTTTTTACCATCTATTAGTTTAAGATAAGGGCTTCCTCCTTTAAGCGCCGCAGGCGAAAATTTTGAAAATTTTGTAAGTTCAAGTAGTAGATTTCTTCATTTTTATGCGCCGCAGGCGAAAATTTTGAGAATTTTGGATGACTGTATGCAGAAAAATTTCCTTTTTCGATCATCCCTTTCTCCATTTATTTAAAAAAAATTCCATCATTAGGGGTGTATATTTTTGGCGTTTGGCGCGCCAAAATCGGAAAATCACGCCAAACGCAAAACGCCAAAAATCGGCCAAAATTAACGCCAAAACGCAAAACGCCAAACGCCATGACGCACAGCCCTGCTCCCTGCCAATAGGTTGGAGAGCTGCTTAAGCCATCCCTCAAATTTTATATACACCTCATTAAAAGAGACACTTTTCCAGCCCAAGAGTGTATCCTATAGCAAGGTCAATTGTAAGACTCTCTTACATTATGCACTCCATTAGAAGTTGAAATTGCCGGATTTGGAGAGTTCGCCTTCTTTAAAATAGTTCCAATCGGAGTATTTACCCCCAATTCATTGGCTAAATTTGATACAATTTGTAATGTGGAAGTAGCAGAAATTAAAGGATCTGTTGTAGAAGTAAAAGGTGAAAGTCTAGAAGATGGGGAAGAAGAGGAAGAATAATATTTTTTATTATTGTTGAGGTGATGATCAAAAATATTGTTGTTATTTGCTTCTTCAATTTCTTCATTTATTGGAGGCGCAACAGCAGCAATCGCTCGAAGAGCGTTTAATGCATTATTCATTTCACAACGATGGCGTTCATCATCACGCAAACGTTCTACAGCGTCGGGATCAGCAAGGAATTCAACCTAAGAAAAAAATTTTTTTTGAAATTCTTTGGAAAAATTTTTAGTCGTTGATCACTCCCATCCATCATTTTCCTTTATCTATCCTATCTCCTATAAAATAAAATTGACATATGTAATGGGAAAGTTCCAGTTCCGTTCTGGAACTGATCGGTTTCAGTCCAGTTCCAAAACTGGAATCAGTTCCAGAGAAATTTTTGAACTTTCCCATCACTGGTCACGACAAGTTATTTTAAAGGTCAAAATTCACATATACTAGAACTTTCTGATATCGTATAAACTTGAGAATCAAATAGCGTTCTAGTCTCGAGTTCTCTATCCCGTTTTCGTCTATTTAGACTAAAATCCAATCTAACTAGAATACCATCAAACTTGGACATTTTAAGAAAATTTAGAATGAAAATTCAGTAGAATAGACTGATAGTAATGTTAGAAAAGATTCTCTCTATAATCTTAATAAATGTTTGGAAAAAATGGATTGAATTCCTTCCGAACCAAGTTCCTTCACTCTAAACTACAGCCCTACTAGTTAATATTTTAAAGAGAAATTAGTGGGATAAGCTTAAAAATATTTAAACTATACCATTATTTGATAAGCTTGTCGATGTTTCCATCCAAGCATTACCCAAGGCCGTGCTTTAGTTAATAAATCAGAGAACCCTCCAGAAGTCATTTTTAATAAGTGTTCAGCAAATGCCTGTAAAAATTCAAGTTTTCTTTATCATTTCAAAAAATTTTCTTTTACCCTTTGCGATATTCCACTACGTGCAAGACATTCCCTTATTCGTCTTGCAACATCCGCAGTGTCTATTTGATCTAAGGAATTAGTTTCTGATGTAGCAGATATATCATTAGGGTTTCTCTTAGGCCTCTTAGCTGCAGGTTGATCATCACTTGAAGAAGTACAAGACGCTGTCCGCTTGACCTTCTCACCCCTATTTTCTTCGATATCCTCCCTTTTCTCCTCATCTATACCATTATCTTCATTCAAATCAATCCCTACTTCCCTCATCTCTTTTCTACCATCCTCTTCTTCCCCTTCAATTTCTTCTTCAAAAACCTTCTCTTCATCCTCTTCCCTCTCTTCCTCCTCAGTCATTCTCAATTTAGTTGAACATCCCTCCTCTTCTTCCTCTTCATTTAATTCATTTTCTTCCCCACATTCACCCTTAGTCGAACTAGAATCTTCTGTCATGTCTTCAAGTCTTAAATCTAAAGACTTCTGTGAGTCTAAATCATCATTTTGTTCAATTCTCCCATTTTCTCCTTCATTTTCACTTCGTTTTTGTTGCTGCTCCAAAAATAGATACATTCGAACATAGGGTTCTCGGCCTTTTGATGTTAATATATTCCAGGGTTTTGGGCGTCCTAGCAAGTCTGAGACTGATCCCTAAAGTATTTAAAATTGATTATGCATAGTCAAATTCATAGTGACACCCAGAACTTTTTAAATTAATTTGACCAATGGATAGGGGACCTGCTCCAATTTAAAATACAGCTAATTAAAAAACGTTTTTCCATCCCCACGGTGCATAATGAGGTCCAACTTGTATAAAGCAAGCTTGCCTGTGATAACCCAACAACATTATCACCAATCTGACTTTGACTTATTGCATTCTTGGACATAAATTCTCGCATACGTCGAGCAATATCTTCTATATCGAGTTGATGGGAAGAATATTTGTCGATTTGTGTTTGTGTTGGGGCAAATGGAGGATCAAAAAAGTTGCGGGAAGGGGATAATGATTTTGAGGGTCGTTGTTGATGATCAGAAAGTGTATCTTTTGAACGACGAGTCTATAAATTTAACGAGATAAGGAATAAAAATTAGAAGTATGTACATAAATAAAGAGTGGCCGTAATCAAAAATTTTAGGCAGCCACAAGTTGCGAGTCTGCAAGTTGTGGACAGCCCTAATTTGTAAGGTAAATATACTTGACACGGAATTCTGAACAGTATTTTCAAAATCCTGTATTCTATAATCGGGATTTTTAGATAAACCAAGATTTTAAAAATGTCTTAATCATATATTAAGATAAAATCCCTAAAGTGATCAGGGTTTTAAAGACCAAATTCAAATACCGTTATTACTTGATTAATCTATTTAGGTAATGTTTAATCTATTCAAGAGGTGTTCCACAACTATCCTGACCCGAACCCAGCCCAAAAATAATTTTGAAAACCCCATATCCCGGCACACCTGCCCCCAAACGTTCGGGTACAACTCTAGTGGGAATCCAAAAAGCTACCTTATTCGAAACCGAATATTCATTATCCACATTACCAACACTTTTTCCTCTTCTTGAGGTATGTGTTGTTGTTGTTACCAAATCCCCATTTTTAATTGAAGACAACCCCAACTCTCTATTTAAATAATTATTAGATTCTTGTTCCAGTATTTTAGCCTTTTCAGCTTCCAAAATTCCAATAATCTTCTCCTTAGGGATATCATCGTGTCTCCAACGTCCTCCTCCTCTTTCCCCTCCTCCTCTTTCAGTTCCTTCATTTACTGCTTCCATTTTTAAATTTTTTGTATTATTTTTATATTGCAAATAATCTGGAGATAATGGCATTATTTCTGTTTTGATATCTCTTAAAATCGAGTTGTTTGGAGGTTGGATAGGATTGACTTGTCGTAGAGATACTAAAAAATAGAAAAATAAAAAGAAGAGGATTCTGGGGCCTATGAAGGGTTGTGGGTCTAACAAAGCGACATTGACATCAAATGTCGATGTCAATCGCGACAGTGACATGTTCCACTAAATAATAATTTTGAAGTCGCAATCGGAATGCCAAGCTATTGACAAATGTCACGACATCTGATGTCAATGCCGCTCTGTGGAATATGTCCATGGAGTAGGGTTGGATTTTTCGAACCGGGCCAACGTTCGAGTCATCTTCGGGCCTCATTTTTATCGAACCGGGCTGTTCGAGTATTTTTCGGGTCAAAATTCGAGGCTCGGTTCGATCTTTCGAACCGAACCCCCTACCCTACCCTGAAGTAGTTGATCTTTAAAATGTTGTGGAAGAGAATTTTTAAACGACCTTTTTTGTCGACTAATGTTAGAGGCTCAAAAATTGCTGTTGTTGTTTCCCCATCCAAATTATCCTCTGGTGATGCAATGAAGGTTTGTGGGTCTGGATGTATCACCTTATCTGGACAAGCACCTTTACGATGATTTAACTGGCAAAGCAAGTCAATAACGATATCGTCAGATATCCATCCATAAATTCGACGGAAGGAATCTCGCCCTTTATCTGTCAATTTGTTCCAAGGTCTTGGTTTGGAAAGAAGTTCGCTTAGTGAACCTTGAGACTGAAAAAAATTTATTTGTTAATTTTAAATTTTAAAAGGGGCTAAGAAATGAGAAGTCAGATGCCGTTAAGATTTTTAAAAAAAAATTAATTTAATGCACTTTCATTAAAAAATAAATTATTATTTATGTCTGCATTATTGTGAAATTATCAAAAATTAAAATCCAAAAACAGTCAACTCTTTCTATAACAGTTAGTAAATTAAAATTTCCAAAGGTCCCATTCTCTCACAAAATAACTCCTTGTATAATCCTTTCATATGTATAATATCCACTTCCCCTAAACCCGGTCAAGAGACGTACTTGATAACGGGAATGGAACCTACCGCATTTTTAAAAGTGGAAGGCAGAAGAAAGCGAAACAAAATAAAACGTGGAACCGGAAAAATCCATCCCTACTATTCAATGATTTTGAATTCGAAAATAACGCGAAACGCCAAAAAAAACGGAGAGTCTAGAGTAAGTTAAGAAAAGTCTCGACACCTAACAGAATGTCAATTCCAAAAGAAAGAGGGGAATAATAAGCATTATATTTTATAGTTCAATTTTAATTTAAATAAATTTTCACCTGTGATACCTTACACATAACAGTACGTGCAAACAAGCGTTGCCCAATACCATATTCGCGCATTACTCGAGTACATTGAAGAGCCAATTCAGTTGTATTTAAATGACAATTTTCAATTTTGAGAATATTTGCGTCGATTCGAGACTTTAAAAATTGAAAAAGAAATTTTCAAAAAAAATCTTCCCCTAACATACTTCAATTTCATTAGCAAGTTTTTGTTCTTCCGGAGTAAAGGGTTTTACAGTAGAAGTATGTGGAGTATTACCATTTGATTTTGCGCCTCCATTATTTTTGGATAGATGATTTGATGAATTTATTGACTTCTTTGAAGACTTTAAAAAATTATTTAATTAGTTATTATAGTGTATAGACGGAGCTCACTCAAAGATAACCTCAATACTAGATAAACCTCCATTTAAGACACCTAGTTGGCTACTGGGTAGGGTTGGGCGTTCGAGTCATTTTTTCGGGCCTCATTTTTATCGGAACAGAACGACCGAGTCTCTTCCTGGCTAAGATTCGATGCCCGACTCGATCTTTCGGATCGGACCGGGCCCAAAACCCTACTACTGGGTGTAGGAAGATGTTCAAGGGATTACCTTCTATTCAAAGTAATTCTCATAATAAAGGATGATATTTCTAATGTATGTTTTATAGTGAAGTAAATCCATTTAAGATCAGTTTTATAAAAGTTTCGTTGACCACTGAGTGGAGGATACCTCCCAAACGATACTTCCAATTTAAGATAGACCTCATTAAGTTGGGGATCATGGGAAATTCCCCAGATATGCGGATCCGTAAGCAAAAATTTTCGGAAATCTTGACTTTTCGGACCTCTGTAAATAAATTTAAAAAACATTATCCCCTAAAAATATTTTAAAAAAAATTTTATTTACATTCAAAGTGAGTGTCAAAAAATTATGCTTATTATTTGGTGTTGTAGCCAAAGGGGAAGAAATATTCAAAGACGATGTTGCTGTTAATTTTTGTTTATTATTTTTAAAAATATTTTCAATATTTTGTTTCTCATTTGGCTGACTTTCATTAATTAAAGTTTTGTTGTTGTTGTCAATTACCCCTCCATTCATTGCTTCACCTATTACACGTTGCATTACCTCCTCAAAATCTAAACTTTGTTGAAGTTGACGTTGGGAAGGAGTTTCTGTTAGTGCTGAATTGGTTGAATTTCGACGTGATTTGCTACGGCGATGAGAAGGAAAATTTTGTTGAGGGATAGAATCGTTGTGGAAAGTTGAGGTTGAAGCAAAAGAAGAGGATGGGGTTGGATCTACTTGAAAAATTTGAAAAATTTAGTCTATAAAGAATAAAAAAATATTAAACCCTCTATTGTATTGAACTCTCTACATACCGACTTCTACTTGGAACTAGGACTTAACTTACAATTTAACAAAAAACCTTCACCTATCCTTTCATGTGAGGGAGTCAACTGTGGTCCGGAATTTTACCAACAAGATTTTTCGAAATTTTGGTCCCCAAGTCAAAAAACGGAATATTATTGGGCTCTAAAATTTTTAGGCGTCGGAGTGAATTTATTAATTTATTCAAAAAATAAAATTAAAAAATCAAGGTGATCGTTAAATCGAGAAAGTTGATCATTAGAGAATTTTCCCTTAACAAGTGAATAGCGATCAAATCGAGTGATCAATCAAGCGAAAGTGATCAATTAAGCGATTGAATAAGTGAACAAGAAAGAATGATCAAGTGATCATCCTCTCTGTTGATCAGCGGAGAGAATGAATCGACAAAGGAGTGATCAGTTATCGACAAGAGAGAATGATCAGTTGATCAAGAGAGAATGATCAGTTAACAACAAAAGTGATCAGATGATCAAAGAAACAAGTGTTTTTATTAATGATCCATAAGTAAACACTCCTCCTATCCTCTTCCGTTCATTATAAAAAGGGTCAAGTTTATTCCAAAAAATTTTGATCAACTTTCCCAATAAAAATTTCAATAAAAATTTTTATTCACCAGCCAAATTATTCGAATTATTAGTTGATTCCATTAAAAAACTAATAAGATTAGCAGCTGCTTCAGCAGCGTCCTGTGTTGATTGTTCTTGTCCCTCAAAATTATTTTGTTCTTCTTCCTCAACTTTATCTTCTTCATATTCATTTTCTTCCTTTAAAACTGGTTGTTGTGTTGTGGTTGTTATCGAAGCACTACCAAAAATAAGTGCAGCAGCAGGTAATAATGTAGCAGGATTTTCAGATATCATTTTGCATAATTGTTCAATTGGGATTAAATTTTGTTGTTGTTGCTGTTGATTTTCAGTCTCTTCAACATTATGATCAACTAAAAATTCAACCAAAAACTTTTTTTATAATTTGGCTTTTTATCGTTTTTTTAAATTGAAAGGATAGGATTTCGATATTAGATAAAAATAGTACGTTAAACGCGGCCCTAATGTGAGTCTACATAAATCTGCCTGATTGGATAAAATTTGAGAAAAGTTACGGAGACTATAAGTGTCAGTAAGACGTTAAATTAAAGGTATCGGTAAAGGATCAAACCGGAAACCAAGGATTTTTCGGTTCGGATCCGAATATCTGAAGACTTTCAAGATGTCTTCAACCCCAGTCTAGATACAAGCAGGAATAGAATCTGAGACTTTATGAAAATCCAAAATCCCTACCATTCTGAAAAATTGAAGGGACTTCACAACTTTGTTGTTTTTGAATTATTGGAGGGCTTTTTAAGGAAGATTTCTTCTTCTTCGTACCCAAAATAATTTGTTGTTGTTGTTGTTTTTGGACATCTACAACACCGTTTCTTTCATTAAAGCTTTGTAATTTAGCCAAAATATCATCAGTTTGTAAATCATTTGTTTTTATATTTTTATAAGGAGAAGTGTTTGTTGATTTGGGGGAGACAAAGGAAGCATTGTGTGGAATAAATGATCCAGAAGCCGACAATTTTTTTGAAACAGGCTCCCTAAAAATTTATTTGAAGTTAGTATGGCTTTATTAATTCGATAAAGAATGATCAAAAAGCCCCGAATTATCCCGCTCACGTATATCCACATCTTTCAATTATACAATAATCATTTAGTTTCCCAATCTCGGGAACGGGAAACTCCGGCTCAAAAAACGTTGGGAATTCCTAATTTCCGGAAATCGAAACGGCAGGATCCCGGACACTTACACCACATGGAACCGAGTCTCAAAGATACAGTGGATAAAATATGTAAGTTTATAATTGAGGTGGATCAATGCCTGGAGATTCCCCTACATGACCGTATTTCGTAAGAATTTTTCGAAGCTAAAATTTCTAATTTGTAAGATGGGATAATCAGGGCTGTCCGCAATTGGAAAAAATTTCCCGCAACCGCAATTTCAATCCGCAGTCCAAAAAACAACACGCAACTGCGGACAGCCCATCATGGTATTGTAACTGAGTGGGATAACATAGAAATTTTTGTGTGGGGTAACATAGAGATTTCTATTTATAAGCACCTCGAAGCACTCTCATTATAAGTATTATTAGCAGCATTCCTTCGACATATTGCCAATTCATTCTGAAGCTTTTTGACAATCTCAGCCTGCCTTTCCAACTCCGTAACCAACTCATCCACTCGAATTTGAAACTCGCTAGTCTTGGAAAGGAGTGTAGAGCGTAACCGTTTGTTTTCGTCTTTTAAAGTACGAATCTGGAATTTTTTTTTTGATTTTTGAGACTTGTCCAAATCCTTCCAATTTACCCTTTCATCTTTTTGCTGCAATTGAAGAATATATTTCTCAACAGTTAAATGCCCTGAAGAGGTGGAAGTAGAGGTATTAGTAGTTGAATTAATAGACGATACGGGTAGGTCAAAGAAGGAAGTATTACCTCCATTTTGTGACTAGAAATTAAAAATTTAATTTTAAAAATTTTATAGGATTACTGTATTATTACTGTATTTACTCGATTAATTCTTTCATTCCAGCGATAGTTAAGGATATAAATTCCGTCATAATTCCTTTCTGAAATATTCTTGGGATGAATCAAAAAAATAATTTCCTCAGAGAAATTAATCGAGTAGATAAGGTAACTAGAGATCGGAATTTTTGTAACCTATGGTATTTCGCAAAATAATGCATTAAATACCGATGACTTGAGAATTTCAGGGTCTAAAGTAAAAATCCTAGGGAGTTATATAATACCGAGGAATACTAAAAAGGAATACTAAGGTGTGATCAGATTTCTAACCCTTATTTATGTTCCGTTTTAAAATTTTTTCAGATATGAGTGGATCAACAAACACGAGGTTATAGAATCAACATTCATTTCCACCTTTTTATTCAACTCCCACCTTTTTATTAAAGTCGTTTGCATTACTCGCATCATCGTCTGAAGCTTTATGAGATCTATCGCTATTATCATCTAATAACGTTGTTGTACTGAGTTCAGAAGTTTTAACCATTATTTTAATACATATAAGTATACTGTCAATAATAAGTAAATTAAATTTGAAATTGATTAAAACACGATAAGAATTAAATAATAAAGACTGTGGTTCCCGTACTGAACCCGATTGAAATCAAATTGAAATCGAATTTAAGAGAAAAGTGATGGATTGAAAAGCTGTTTAAAAGCCAAGGACGTGTTTTTAGATTTTTATGTTACTTCCTAGTAGGGTTGATGGAGCCTAGGAAATCCCTGGGTACCCTGATACGGTATCCGATCCGAAAATTTCCGGATATCCGTCCTTTTTCGGATTAAGATATCTGGATCTACAACCCTAATTCCTAAGCTTTACATTCGGAGTTTATCAAGCTTGATTTACATCCATAACTATGTATCCGGCAATTCTAACCTGGGCGATTGATTTTAAAAACCTTCTTATCGAAAATAAACTAAGTTAGAGAGACAAGAATCACAAAAAATGGAAATGTCATCGATAAGAACAAGTTAAGGTTTTAAAGGAGGCAAAAAAATGAGGAAAGGAGCGCAGTTAAGTTACTGGATGGGAAAATGCTTGTAAAATATTTTTAGTGATTTGGTCATATATTTGGGGTGTGATACGCGGCGATAGAGGAAAGAAGGTAGAAAAAAATGTGGGCCGACACCATATAAATAAATATACAGAAAAGATGGGCAATAATCAAATGGCAAACACACGGAAAAGTGTGTTGTTTAGTTAGTTGTTATTGAGAGCATTTTTAGGAGTGATCGACAGAGGAGGAGAAGAATAAAAAATTGATTTGCTATACTCAAATAAATAAATATAAATTTATATAATAAAATATTATAATTTTTGAATATAATCAAGGGGAGGACTATTAAGAGAAGGGAGAAATGAAGAGGCTGATCAGGCAGAGAGACGATTGATTAAGAATTATGGATTGAGATAAGTCAATTAAAGAGAGGTGAAGTGGAAATTCTCCATATAGATAAGCTACCTAATCAAGATCAGCGAGGTAGGTAATGAGTAACCCCTTATCTTAAAGATAGTCGACTCTTGATACCATAGCTCCCATCAGCAAGTCTCTCCATAATACGGTCCAGAAGAAGGGGTGTTTTAGTGTGATTCTACCCCCAATAGGACGTCTTTCCTTATTATATATCGGCTCGATTCGGTTCCGAAGGTGACGTCTCGAGTCGCCTGACTATATACTGTCTTTGGGGGGTATTGCATAAATCCCCGAAGCATCACCCGGGTCTCTCCGGATCACCGGCAAGTCTCTCCGTAATAAGGTCCAGAGGAAGGGCTCCCCTACCTAGTGGCCAATTAAATTATAGAAAACGTGTCTTAAATTGAGGAGTATCCAAGTTTGGAGGCTAAAAGTTGGATTGCTTGTAAATATGATTTATGAGTTGGAAATGGACATTACAAGAATTTTTTCTTGTAAATTAGACATTTAAAAAAATTTAAAAAAAATCTTAAAGATCAAAAACACACAAATATACATATAAAAACATTCGCCATCACTCAAATACACAATTCTCCGATTGCGCGATCATTCTCCCTCAAATAGAGAGTAATGCTCACTTTTCTTGTCGATTGTTCACAGAGGGATGAAAAAAAAAGAATTGGAGATCAAATAAAGATTATTTTTATATAGTAAAGCCCGCCAAATTTGAGTTGGGAGTGGTGGTGATTATTTCCTCAAAAAGAGGGAGAGTGTGCAATGTTTTTCTCTAAAAAATGGGTAAATTGGGGGGAAATTGAGAGGTTGTATAGTTCAGTAATAGAGATTGGACAAGTCGAGATATCAGTCGAAAATCTTGAAACGGTATCTGATCGAGATCTAAGTTAGTTTTTCAGAAAACGAGAAAGGACCTCGAAATTTCGATTTCGTAAAAAATTTCTCTTCGGTAACACTCTTATTTTTGGCCTTTTACTTTGGGAGGGCTGAGAGGCCGAGAAAAATTTTCAAAATTGTCAACAGATCTGGTTTCGTATCGAAAAAAGCCCGGCTTTCGGATTTCTGAGTTTAGGTTCCCCATCCGATCCTGGTAAGAATACGAATTTTGGTAGGGCCTGCGAAGCATCATCAATACCCGCTTATCGATATAGAGACTGATCAATCACTCCCAATCGATCTCTAATTAAAAATATTTAAACACTTGCAAGAATTACGAATATATTTTTAGTTAAAAATTTTGATAAATTTAAGGGGAAAATGTGATAAGAAAGGAATGATCATGATCATTCAACACAGCTAAATAATTTTATTTCTTAACAAAGGGAAATAAAAAAAAGTAAAAAATAAAACTAATTTTTTGAAAATAGTTTCTTCCGTAATCTAGGAATATCTATTTTATTCAGTTATCAGACAAGTCAGTGATCAGATTGTCTGATCCAGTGATCGGAGAATTGAACACACGATAAATGGGTAACAGGACAATAGGGGGTAATAGTTCGGTTCGTACACCCCTCCCCCTCCCTTTTTCCTTCCTAAAAGTATTAAAAACAGTCAGTTAGTCAAGGTTATAGAACTCGTTGAGCTGTGTCGACTTTTAGGATGGAAAAATGAGGGGGGGATACGAACCGAACTAGTATTACCCAATATGGTATTTCCAATACCCGATTAGAGGCATTGATGATCACGGCATTGATTAGAGACTGAACTTGTTTTCTTTAAAAATGGAAGTTAATTATTATGTTTTTTAACATCAACAAATTTATTTTTAAAAAATATAAAAAAAGGAAAGGAAAATTTATGGGGGGATCATATACAAAAACTGACGCGCACAAAAAAATAATTTTTAAGGAAGAGAACAGCAAAAAGGCAGGCCATATTTCAACAATCCCCATATACTTTCTAACAACTTAAATTAGTTTCCTTATGTTTTTCTGATCAAAAGAAAAAAGAAAGTGAATTTAAAAAAAATAATGATGGGACACCGACAACAAAAAAAAATAATTTTTTTATTTATTCGAAGCCGTGAGTGTGTTTTTTAAGATAATAATTGTTTGATCATTAAAATTATTGTTTTTAAAAAAAAATAAATAAAAATGGTCAATAAAATTGTGAAGAAAATAAAAATCATGAAAAAAAATAAAAAAATTAAATTGATCAACTAAAATTTTTATTTTCTCCAAAATTTATTTCCAAAATTAAAAAAAAATTAAGTATAAATCAGGGCTAGGCGAAATCTAAAAATAAAAAGCGAAATACGAAATGCGAAACGCAAAAATGCGAAATAAGCCCAGCCCTGGTATAAATATATTTATTTTTTAGATAACTAAAAATATTCCTTTAGTTGATCTCTTTAAAATATATACATTTTTAAAAATGTCCGTAAAATAAATTGCCTTTATTTTATTTACACAAAAACATTTTTTTGAATCAGAAAAATTATTTTTATAAAAATATTATTGGAGAAAATCATTTAAATGTACATATAAAAAATTTTGGGGATAAAAGAAAATAAAATAAAAAATAATATTCTTAATATAGCAGGGATCGTGTCGATATAAAAATAAATTTCCAGTGTAAGGAATCAAAAAGGCACGATCATTAAAAAATATTAATCTTTATCTACATATAAGATTAAGATGAGAGGTCCGATCGAGATAAGGTATCGTTTTCCTATTTATCAAGATCCAGATACTTCTAGGTATTTCGTAGTTCGATAGATCCACAAGTCTGATTTCTAATTTAAAAACTAATTGAAAACTTGTTCTTTAATTGGGAACATCTAAAGACTGGTGAGCAAGTACCGAAGCTAGGATTAGAAAAAATCAAAACCGGAGCTGCAAAAGCTCAATAACTAGCACTGGTTATATGTAATTCTAAGTCGAAATATAACCAGCACCTTAGTCGAAACTTTTTAGCGAGGGTGTTAAGAAAACTTTCTAAATCAGAAATTAATCTCCTTAAAATCTCCTTAAAAATCATTTAAAAAGCAATATTTTTTCATTTGATTGCATCAACAAAAAAGCATCAACACAAAAACTCTCTCAGCGGGTGGCCCACAATTTTCACTTTCCCTCCATCTATTTTTAATAAAAAGTAGCGTCCTCATCTCTTCAACTAATCAACGCCTTCTTTAAAATATTAACGTCCATTTTTGCCTTGAAAATAAAGAAAATGGACGAAGAAGAAGAAAATTTCTTCCCTCTTCTTCTCATCACCCTTGATTTTTGGAGGGATTTTTGCCTAAAAATCGTTTCCTTAAACACAAGCGTATTTTCTTTCCATTTTTCTCCCCAATTTTTTTCTTTTCTTAAACTTAACCACTTTTTTTAGCCGCTACACAGTTGCGCAGTTCAAATCACCCCTTATTCCTTCCTTACTTTTATTTACTCTCCTCTGTCTCTGTCTCTCCCTAGGGCCAAGCCATCAGTCCTCCTAAGAAAATAAAAGCAATATAAAAATTGAAGAATAGGTTGAAGATGGGGGTGTTTTAAAGTGCATTTGGTTAATAAAATAATTTGCTTTGGTCTATTTTGCCTGAGGGGAAATTATTAAAGTTTTGTTTGATCAGAAATGTTGACAGGAAAAATGTTGACCCAGACAGTTTAATGACTCTGTGGAGTCATTAATTTGTATCACTGGGTCGACCTTTGCCTCTCCGATTTTAGGATCAGTCAATGCCTAAGGATTCTAATACACTTGCGAACTGACATTTGCGGACCGACATATGAGGATTGAGGTCATAGATTTTTGGATCGGTTTCGGCACACTCCTGAGCTAGATGTCCATTGATCCCAACTTCTTACAGATTGAAAGGGGATAAAGAAACACCCCTCAACTTTACAGAAAAGTCTGGGCCAAATTTGCCATTACAGAGGGCACAATGCCCTCCTATACAATGCCCTACACAATGCCCTCCTATACAATGCCCTCCTATATGTTGTCCTTACTTTTTATAATCCTTAATAAAAAAAACGAATTTGAGTATCCGATCGGGCAGATCCGTTTAACTAAAAAATATGTGATCAATAACTCGTCACAGCCTGATCACTAATCATAAAAGGGTGTTGATCAAACTTGGAGGTCTTTTGGATTTACTTAGATTCGGTTCAATCATTAATGAGAACAAAGACATATAGCGTTATAGCAGATGGCACAATGCCCCTCCGTTTCTTTCCATCACTTTTCCTTTCACATGCTATCCATACACAAGTGGAGGATCACAATAAGTCGCGCACAATGAGGGAGGGTTAAAAATATAAGAAAAAAAGGAAAAAAAAATTGCGATTGCCCTGGAAGAGAAAAATGAATGAAAAATGCATGTTTGGCCGACAGATGGCAAGTAGTTGGGTAGGGGTTGATGAATGAGTGAAAAATAAGAATTGTTTATAAATGGGCATAGAGCGATTTGTGTGGGGGATAAGAGCATGGATTGGAAAATTTATATAATTTATTTTTTAGTGTTATTGTCAAACAGATGCTCTCTTTTTTTAACCACAAAATTGTTAAGTAACCTTGAAATGATCAGAATAATGAATAAATTGGAAATAAATCACAAATCAAATAAATAGGGAAATGAGGGTAAACGACCTTTGTGAAGCGACATTTGTGGACAAAATTAACTTCCCATTGGAATTGGAACTTACGGAAATTGGAACTTGTCCGGTACTTTGGACAATAACTACAGGATACTACGGCCTGACATTTGGATATTTAGGGTAGACAAATGAAGGTCCACATTCAAGGATTGAAGTTCGAGAATCGACACAAGTGATTGTTGGATTGAAATTTGAGGGTCGACACTCGAATATTAGGAATTGACACTTGGGGATTGCGGACCGATACTTGCGGATTGCCATTTGAAGCTGGATGATCGACACTTGGGGCTGGTTCAGTCTTTGGCCAAAGCCCAAATTTTGAAAAAAATTGGACTGACATCTGAGGCATAAAACAGAGAAAGCTCAGAGGGTATCTGCAAGTGTCGGGTTCACAATCGGATCTCTCTCTACCAAAAAAAATAATGAAAAATAAATTTAAGGGGAATTCATGGAGATTTTAATTTAAAAGTAAAAGTCAAAAAATTAAAAGAACATTTTAAATAAAAATTTTTTTTAATTCGATTGGCTCTAATCTAGTTGTTATAATTGAATTTAAAAAGAAATTTGATCGGATAGAAAAATATTGTGAAGTGATTTATTTAATAAATAGATCAAAGAATGGAATTAAACAAATGATTAGTGAAAAATAATAAGGAAAATTGTTAGTATTTTTAGAATTTTTTAAGAAGTGATCCGAGAGCCTCTAAAACTACGGTGAATCATAAAAGAGAGGAAACATAGAAATAAGCCTCGCTTTTAAAGCAACTAATTCCTCCCCCAAATCATTCCTTTGCTTAATAGAAAGCCATCGGCCAATTCCGATGGCCCCAATTGGCTGCTTTCTTTTAACTCGATCTCCGCCCTTTTTTGCCCTTTTCCTATTCAAAGGTAATCTAATAAATGAACATGCTGATATTTATGTTGCTTAGCTAATGAGTAGAGTTGGCCAGTATCGGGATATCCCGATCGGAATCCCGATCCCGATGATTCCGAGACCCAAAAACAAATCCCAATCCCGGTTTCGGTCAATCCGGATCCTGAGTTGGGATCGGGATCCCGATCGGGGTTATTATTCCAAATCCCGATCCCATTTTATGCCAGAATCCCGATAACGGCCAACTCTACTAATGAGATTAATTTATCCAAAGAAAAGAAAACTCTGTGAAAATAAAATTTACATGTGTAATTAATGAAAAAAATTATTGCCTTTTAGCACTAACTTGTGCCTCATTAAATGCAGCTCATTAACATTGTCTTCCACAATATAAAAAGGTAGTTGAGAATTAAAAACTCATTATCTTGTATAAATTATGTGCTTACTAATCTAATATGAAATGAATGATCATTTAACTAAGGGATTGGCCGGAAGGGATGAAGGAGGTGCTGGAAATCCGAACTGCCTGCACTATGATTTCCGACACCCTTTTAATTTAAATGATCAGATACATAGTGAGGTTATATGAGTGGTTATAAGATTTATAAGGAATTACTGGCAAATAAGGAAACGCACTATCTTTATTGGTAACTCAAACCCCTGCCTAACGCCAACCCCACAACTAAGCATAAACCCCCAATGACGTTGATTCCCCACTAACTGCAGCTCAACGGGATAAGGCCAATTATACCAAAAATGACCTGATTCGACTTTAAGTGGTCTTACTAATTATTTAAGTAGTCTTACGGATGCTTGCAATGCAGTAGATCAGTAGAAAATAAACTGATTGGAAGAATTAAAATGAATATATTCTGTCAGAGGTTTACTGTGTGTCATTAAAAATTTCCATTTTTGCCCGAATAAAATATAGTAGTAATTTTAGATTGAATAAATAAACGATCTCAAAAAAAAAATGAAAGAAAGAAAATGGCAGCCAGGCAGCCGTCGCCATCACTCAAACAAGAATGAAAGGAAAATGTTGAGGCCTAGAGGTCTAAGGCTTCGTTCAACGGGACAAAATGCGCCAAACAACGGCTGACTGCTTTATTCAAGCCTCCGCCCTAAAATATTCTTATTCCTTTTAGCTATCGCTTGTGTCACTCACATCAGAGCAGACATCAACTAAATAACAGAAAATTGTGTGCCAAAGGCGGCTTGCCACCATTTATATGTATATTTATTGGCAAAAGGGAGAGAGAGATATTTTATGTTGGCAAACCTTCCCAACATCAACTACTGACTGCTATCGCTGAAAAGCTTTTTTGGCACTGATGAGAATGTTTAAGGGGGGATGAATGAGCAGTTGGTTTATAAAAAGTAGTAGAAAAAAAAATAGAAAATGAGCGGAGCGAATGGAATGGAAAAAATTGAAAGGAGAGTGCGCTGCCAAACATGGGAGGGAGACTGACTGGCTGAATGTGCGGGAAAATGAATTGAGGGGGAAGAGGGGGAGGGAGGTAAAAGCCGAGAAAGCTTCAAGCATTGGGCAAAATGAGAGAGTAATCGGATAGGCACTAAAAAAAGTTGAGATGAATCCCTTCCATCCCTTCCATTTTGTGACTGAATGAGAGATGGATTGTGTGACCCAACATAACCACCATCTATTTATTACTATATCGAAACATGCCAAAGGCATAGAGAGTTGAATATGTAATTAACTACTCTAGCAATAGAGTAAAGTAGCTGATACTGGCAGCTGCCAATAATTTTTTTATTTAATCTGTAGGGTAATTATTTGAGTTTATTGTGGAATGGAACGTAAAGTAAGAAAAATAAAAGTTAAATTTAAAAAGTTAAATTGCCTTCTGATAATATGATCAGAGCATGGATTAAGATTTCCAGAAAATCATGATTTTCTGGAATATTCTTAAAAATTTGGGGGTTTATTAAAAAATCAAAGTATTAGACAGGATTATGAAAATCCGTTCCAGGATCCTTTAACGAACTCCTGTGCCTACTCATTTACTGATATGAGAGGAATGATCCTAAATAGATACCGGATAGTTCGAGATCTTGCACAAAGATCAAGGCTAACGAGATCGAGACTCTTTGAGATCTCGATTGTCGTAGGACACTCCCGGTACGGTCTTTAATCCAAAATGAGGAATAATATCCTAAAATAAGTAGATCAACAAATACAAAATTTTTTAGATAAATAGACTACTGTGAGGGTCGTACGGGAATCGAGATCGGTATCTAAGAAAATCTTGATTCTAGATACCTATCCGAGATTTCTCGAGTAAAGATTAATTTTAAGAATTTAATAATATTTTTAAAATACTGTAAAAACGAAATATTCTTAAAAATAAGAAAAAATGTGTATAGTTTTTAATTGTTTGGTTGATAGTAGTAGCTACTTTACTTTTTACGATTTTCATTCTAAAATTTCTTTTTTCTTTTTTTTTTTTGTTGACTGACTGATGGTTGAGAAAGGATTGGCACACAAATTCACAAAGCTTAAACAAAATTGCTTTCATTTTCTTTTCTTTCAGTGCCGCATTTTCCATTTTTAGTAGTGTCTGCCCCCTATTCAGGCACTCACATACTTGTGTGTGTGTTTATTTTCCATCGGTCGCCTCTGGCAAAGCCTTCCATTCAATCCCATCAAGCCGTCCATTTCCGATGGGGCTTTTGAATAGCTTAAATGTTAGCTACTACTATCCCCCTCTCTCCCACCAATTTATTTTTTTCTTTCCATCAAGTCCATTTATGGAGAAAGAGAATTGACTGGCACATAAAATGCCAAATCCAAATAATGCCAAATAGTCCAGAAAGACAAAATGGCAAATTGAGGCAATAGCTAAACCTATGGGTATTGGTTCGACGCTTGTGCAAATCCCTTGATTCGCGCGGGATTTTGCGGCGGGAGTCAGCGGCGGGAGTTAACGGTTGCATGGTTCCGGGGGTGTTATTACGAAGTAAGGGTTAATCAACCCTCAGCTGCGGGTAGGTTAACCCAAAACCCTTATTGAAAAATGCGGGTAAGGGTAACCCTAAGTTGTGGGTTAGTTACCCGGGTAATAGAACCCGCAGCTGTGGGTCAGGTTCTTACCCTCATTGCAAGATGATCTTTTGGCATTATTTGGGATTTGACATTTTATGCGGCACGGAATTGTCTGGCACACAAACATAACCAATGAACAGTAAAAATAAAGAAAAAATAAAAGTAGAGAAATAGAAATATGGCAAAAACATTCCTTTCTCTATCCAAACATTCTTTGTTTGCATGAATAAATGAGAGGGGAGAGAAACAAAAAACTCAAGAAAAAAATTAAAAACATGCCTAGTTTTGAGGGGTATTAAATAAGTAAATGGGGTTGATGAGGAAGGAGAGCTTTTTCTCTATTTTTGGATTAATGCAATCTTTAAAATTCGATATGGCCTTAATTATTCTCGTTTTCTCTTTTTTCTTTTAGCTTTTAAATGAAAGAGAGGGAATGTACTTTATATATGTATAAATTTTAATTATAAGCTTAAAATTTAGCTAAATCTACCAAAAAATAATTTTATAAACGAATAATATTACAGTAAAGCAGTAACAAACTCGGAGGAATAAGAGAAAATGTCCGTTATATCGAGTGGGTTATATCGAATGATCAGAGATGGAGGCCAAGAAATTGAAAGAGCTGCTCATCAGAGCTGCTTAAAAATAAAAAAATAGTCGAAATTCAAAAATTTGGAATAAGCAAGGCCGAAAATCGAGATTTCGCGCAGCCCTGATTAGGTGAGTCTGACTAATACACCATCTCTCAGAAAGTATGGAATGGCGTATTGGTCGAACGGTGTTTTGCCAAGACACGACTCTGATCATTCTACATATTTAAAGGTGTTTTGAATTTTTAATGCTTAATGTAATATCTAAAATCTCGAGATAATTCTTTGAGTAATAGACAAAATAAAAATAAATTAAGAACAATTGTATTTTTAATAAAATAATTAAAATAATAAAGAGAAAATGGTTGAAAAGTTGACTATAGATAAGGACGCCGCTTAAACCAAATTAAATTTAATTATTGAATCGTTAATTTAATATTGAAATTATATGGTAATTAGCCTCGATTAAAAATTTTTTTAATGAACAAGGAGGGAGAGAAATTGAGGTAATGATTACCTTTATGAAGCAATAATTCACCTAGCAATAAATCATAGATCGACTTTCTCTCCCCTCACCTCAGCAAAAGATTTTGGTAAGGAGATCTGGCTAAACTTGGAAAAAATGGAAAATCGTTAAGGATATAGAGAGAGAAAGTGTCAATAAGAACATATACCTGCCTCTGCTTGTTGGAGGTGAACGAACGCACACCGCTACCCCAAAAATGGGCAGATCGCTCGCTTCACTCATTTATTTATAAATAAATATATTCATTCACTCATTCGCCAACCCATCACTTTTACTAAACTCTACCTAACTCTCATCACCATCATCATCATAATTTTCCTCTCGACCAGCCGAATCTATTCACTCACACTTGGAAATGAAAAGTTGAATTGAGCTGCTCACATCAATGTCAGTCAGTCAGCTGCCCAAATTGGTATAAAATATAGAGGAACGGAGGGAATTTTTTTTTGTATGTTTGATGAGGAAATGAATGGAATATTTAGAGGGAGAGAAGGATTGACTGATCTACTACAGCCTATTTTGACTGGGAAAAGGAAGGACGAACAATAGCCGAGTTGGCTATAGAAAGTTATATTCAGTTGATCACTTATGGTTAAAAACATTTATTTTTCGAGTTATAAAAATTTTTTACTTGAAAGATTATCAAAATCTAATTGCTAGAAAATTTAAAAATATAAAAAAAAATTTTTAAAAATAACTGACGAGAGTGGGATTCGAACCCACGCCTCCGAAGAGACTGGTGCCTTAAACCAGCGCCTTAGACCGCTCGGCCATCTCGCCTTTCAATGGCCTTTCTTTCTAAACTATTTAACGTTAATTATTATTTGATCATACAAACAAACTCATTGTTAAATAGTTGTTTCAGGTATAAAATGAGATAGTTACAAATTTTAAAAATCAGGTATGACTAGAATATATTGATCGGACAACTTTCTTTATTTTTCTCATTAATTTAAAAATACTTTATTGCACAAATTTAATTTTTTTATTAACTTGGGGTTAGGTTAAGTGGTGATAGGATGTTCTGGTATTATTCATAGCTGTTCTACGAGAGTGGATTTATTGCTGTTGTAGCATTTTCGATTCCAATTTACTTCAATAGTAACACAATATTTCTCCTTACATTAAAGCTACAATTACTCATAATAAAATAATCTTTTTCTCTTTAACCTTGTCAAATCGTTAAAGCAATTTTAAAAATTCACTCTCAAACAAGCTGCACAAAATCGAGTTTCCAATGGCAACAGAGGATCATTCATAGCCGGAAGGAGAACTAATTTTGAAATACTTTTGATTTATAAAAAGAGGGAAAAAATAAAAAAAGATAAGCGAATTGGCTAAAGAAGTTTTTAAGTTGATCATTTATTTATAAAATCTTTGTTTTTTTAATTTATTTTACTTTGTTAAAAAATATTTTTATCACAAAAATCATTAAGATTTAACCCTAAAGAATTTTAAAATTCAAAAAAATTTTTTTAAAAATATCTGACGAGAGTGGGATTCGAACCCACGCCTCCGAAGAGACTGGTGCCTTAAACCAGCGCCTTAGACCGCTCGGCCATCTCGCCTCCTACCAGTTATTTCTAAAATAATCTTAAAACTCATATAAAAAATAGCAAGAATCACTGCTAAATTATAGAACAAATGCTTAATTGTATCTAAATAAAGTTTATTTGTTTAATTAATATTTTATTAGATATTTTAACTGATAATTAAAATTATTAAGAATTTTAAAATTTATAAAAAATTTTAAAAGGAATTTTTAGAATTTGTCATTTCAATTTTTCGATAATTATTTTATTGATAGTAGTCACTGATAAGAGAATCCTTTATCAATCAAAATTTTAAAAATTCCTTTATACTTTTAATTATTTTAATCATTTTATTATAATCTTTTTAAATTATTTTTATTAATTATTTAAATTATTTAATTATCGAATTTTCCCTTAGTTTTAATTAAAATTTAGCTAAAAAATAGTCTCCAATTTCGACATAAAAATGTGAAAATTAATTGTATGTACGACTTAAAAATAAACTATGTATAATCAGTTTATTACGACTCCCGTTCCCTCTTACATTCCTTTATAGCAGAGGCCGATCGGAAATGACTAAGGTGCTGGAAATCGGAACTCGGAAATTGGAACTTGGAACTCGGGACTTGGAAATCGGAACTTGGAAATCAGAACTTGGAACTCGGAAATCAGCTCAAATTTCCGGAAATCGTGAGTCAAGATTGGAATTCCGTTCGACCTCTGCTTTATACGTCTACTCAATTTGAACTCGAAACTCGTTTTTATATTCCGTTTCGTCGAAAATAAATTTGAGTTTAAGGCTGTTCTGACCCACAATGGAGTCGTTATAGAGAGAGATTTCTATTGTAATCCTTCCGTTTTATAAAATAAAAAAAATGAAAAGTATTTATTTATTTCCTCATTCTCGTGTTTTCAACAAAATTTTGTGACTAAATTTATCACAAATAAAATTTAAGTATTTACAAAAATCGAGAAAAAAATATCGAGAAAAATAAAAAAAATATTTTTAACCGACTGAAAAGAAAATTTCTCTCACTCATTTTTTGTTTGTTTACCTTAAAAATAATAAATAAACAAGTTTAAAAGACAGACAATTTTTAACATTTTTTATTTTGATAAAATTTTCTTTTTTTTTAACTTAAAATTCGCTTAAAAATCGAAAAAAATTTTTTGGACATTTTGTACCCAATTTAAAAAAATTTTTTCTCTTTTTTTCAAAAATTTAAACAAAAAAAGACAAAAAAATAGGATTCATTTTTTCTTTAGAATTGTTCATTTATTCAATTTTTATTGAATAAAAATAAATTTTTTTAAAAGAAATCCAAGGCCATTTATTTCGCAAAAAGGGGTAAAATTGAGTCTGGGAATAAGGGGAATTTTTTAAAGAATTTTTTTGGATTTTTTAAATTAATCAATAAAATTATTTTTTAAAAATTTTTAAAAATAAAGTTTTAAAAAAATTCGGAAAAAAATTTTCTGGAAATTTTTTTAGAAAATTTTTAAAGTCAAAAATCTCTTTTATTTTAAGACTCTAATCGAAAGGAATTGAAATTAAATAAAACCACAAAAAATTATTTCCTATTTGCCCCATAAATGAAGAATAATCCCCTTCCATCCCTTGAACAATGAGGAAGAACAACCATTCCTTCAAAACAATATGTCTCCTCACTAGGGTTTATTCTATTCCTTTCCTGGACCGAACCGAAGAACCGATGATTTTTTTGTTCTTCAGTTCGGTTTCGGATATCCGAAGAATTTCCAGGAACCGACGACCCTACTCCTCACTCTATTCCATCTTTATTTTAAGACTCTAATCGAAAAATAAATTGAAAATAAATAAAATTAACATTATCAATCATTTCCTTTCTCAATTTTTAATTTATCAGCCACCCTCTCCCTCTCCTCTCCTTCCTATTTTTACAACAACAAAGCGTTCGAAAAAAAATTTTTTTGGGGAAAGAATAAAAACAAGGGGAAGAAACAATAAAAACAAATAAAAAAATATTTTATCTAAGCCCCATTAAATTTTCATATCAGCAAAATTTTATTTTTTTTAATTTTTTTGTGCACATTTCTTAAAAATTTATAAAATATTTTCAAACATCGTTGAAATAAAAATTTATTTTTAAAAATGTTCATTTTTCAACTTGTTTACTAATTTAGTAAAGAAAGGGTGTGATGACTGCGCGAGATTTATTACTTTAAAACACACTACAAAATTAAAATTTGTATTTGTAAACAAATACAGTCGGACCTTATTTTTATATACTCCCTTAGACTGAAAAAATTGATAGAAAAATCGTTGACTATAATGAAGGGTACACCAAAGTTTGGGTATCACTTAGACCGATCCTGTCCATCTCCTTCTAAACTAAATTTATAAGGGACGTAAACTAAAAAGAGATTGGGAGTCTGCGGACTGATTTAAATATCAATATCGAATTATTTTTTTCAACATTTATCAATTCAAGTGTTCCTCGCTTTTCCTCATAGCCCCATATCAGTAATAATTATTTATTCAATTAGGGAGGTTTCCTATTGTGTCCAGTTCAGACCTGGTCACGGTTATGGATACAGATAATATCAAAATGCCTGCGGATATCCGCCTGTATCCGTCTGTATTCGCCGTAAATCTGCGGATACGGATACCAAGATCAGTATCCGTGACCAGGTCTGGTCTAGTTAACGAAATTTGGGGAATTTGAGATTTTTTTGAAAATTCCCCGAGCTTTCTCCTCCCCTCGATCTATTTATTAATATCTTCAAAATCGACTCAAGCCTTTTTAATTTCGATTTTGTGTTAAATTCTCGACCAAAACACATGACTATGAGAATTATTTAAATACTTTGGATGGAAATAATTTATTTATTTATATAAATATTTTAACAAACAATTACCATGCGTTACCTGTCACATAAACTAATTTTAAAATAAAAAATAATCATGTGTTTTAAACGTGTCATTTTTTCCTTGGTTATTATTCCAAACTACAAATACACTTAATCCTTTTATTGAGAATTAAAAAAAAATTTTTTTCTAAAGGTCCAAATTAAACTTTTAAATACTTATACAAACAAATAATTAAAAAAAGTTTTTTTAAAATTATTTATTTAAACTTAATTTTTTTTAAATTTTTTTTTTTATAATTACTATTTGATTTTAATATTTAAAAAATTGTTTGATCAAATTTTATTTTTATTTTTATTCTACATATTATTTATATTTTTGACATCTTTTCCCAGTATTTATCCTTCTTCCTTTAATCCCCTTAAAAATTAAAAAATGATAAAAAGCGTTAGATAATTATTAGAAATTCGAAAATTACGGGGTAGTTCTTCTAAAATAAAAATATTTTCGAGGTGGATCGGAACAGTCAGAGGTGTCGGAAATCGGAAGAGCCGGAAATCGGAACTGGCTCAAAAGTCGGAACTCGGAAATCGGAAATCAGAATTTTTTTCGGAAATCGGAAGTTCTTGCCTAAATTTTTTACTCGTATTAATATTGGACATCTCTAAAGCTTTAGGTTCGATTCGATATCCGAAAACCTTCCCCTCCGTTTTGGACCTCCAAATAATTTTTTAGAACAGACACTACCTCTTTTAATGGTTAGCCAAATAAATATTTAAAGATTGGAGCTGTTTCGAAATAGAAAAAATCTTGGAAAATTGGAATTAAAAATCGAAATTTCGTCAATTCTAAACCAAAATTATTTTCTAAATTTTTTCTCGAATTTTTCAGATTTTTTAAAATTATTAAAACTCATTTTTCTCTACAAAAAAATTATTTTTTCCCCGTTACTAATATTTTAAAAATAAATTTCCCTCCCCTACATTTTTTATTATTTATTTTTAACATTTTTTGACGATTAAATATTACACGTTTTTTAAAGTTATGTGTATAATAATAGAAGATTTACACAGTTTTTAATACCCCAAAAAATGTAAAAAAATTTTACATAATTATTACAGATATCTATTTTTATTATTTTTACTCTTGACAGAATTTAGTAACAATTTTTTGGAATAAAAATTGTCGTATAAAATACTTTTGATAATTTGTATCAAAAAATATTTCAGTGATTTTTATTAGTCTAATATTTTTATTGAACCACATACTATACAGAGGTGGGTCGGGATTCCGATTTCCTACGTTTTTTCCTTCCGATTTCCGAGTTCCGACTTATGAGCCAGTTCCGATGTACGTCTCTTCCGATTTCCGACCAACCTCTGTTACTATACTTAGTTACCTAACTTATATTTTGAATGTAATATGAATGTTTTAATAAATCCACCATTAAATCAACTAAGTTTCTTGAGCCTCCTCCATTCATTTCCCAATCCTTAATTGACGCTCCAAAGGAACCTAGATCGGAACCTAGACAGGGAAGGTCAGCCCTTTGACAAATGAGCCTCCCTCACCACCGAAGGTATCTAGATCTGAATCCTAGACAGGGAATGTCAGAACACTTAACTAAACATTTGTTTGATGTTATCGGAAAAATACAAAAAATCGACAAGATGTCGAAACAAGCTGGGTTCTGATTTTCAATAAAAATCCTTGTAAACCTTTAGATTCTTTTAAAATTAGTCCCGAAAGCTCGTCTCCTTCGGGGTGAAATGCGCAGACGTAGCTGTTATTTGGAAGACTTGCTAACAAGCTTTAAAAAAACTTTTTTAAATTCGCTGAAAATTATTTTTTCATTTTTTAACTAAAAAATTATTTTTAGCTTTTCAGTTATAAAATAATATTAATTAAAAAATGTCTTCAAACGGCAGCTTTAACAACAACAAAGTTTCCCCCGCAGAAAAAAATAATTGTTCTATAATAAAATTGAATTATAATGATAATTCATTTAAATCCTCCCCTTTTCCAATTGATAACATTCCCCCACCTTTATATAACGAATTTGAGGGGGATAATGAAGGAAATAAAAATAATAAAAAGGAGAAAAATACACAATTAAATATAGACGAGAAAGGAAGATTGTATAGACAGAAGGGGCTCTCGTAAGAATTTTTTGAAGAAATTTTTTTTGAAAATTTTTTGAAAATTTTTCTCATTTTAGATTTAAAATCACCCTTCTCAATTTTTTGAAAACACTGGTTGGAGCAGGATTTCTTTCACTTCCGTTAGCTTTTCGAAATGCTGGATTATGGGTAATTAATATATTGTTAATCCTAACTATAGGATAGACATTTGGGGCTAAAAAGTGAATCTTATAGTGAGAAGTTTTTAAATAGAGAGGGTGAAGCAACCCCTTAAATAGAGAGAGTTAGCCAGTGAGGTTACCTCACCGAGATGTCTGTGGCTAACCAAATTTAAAAATGGTATTCAATTTAAGAAAAAAAAACGTTTGGAGAAAAATCAGAGAAAAAAGCAGATCTTATAATTAGATTCTTTTATTAAAAATGGGCTTGGACAATGAGATATGAATTATTTCAGGGAGACATTAGAGAAAATCTCGCTTATCATGACCGAGATTATTGACAGATCACAAAGCCCGATCTCTAATAACCACATGCTTATAAATTTCTAAATCAATGTTCCACACTAGCATGTCTCCTCAACTATCACGTCCCTGATAGAACGTGATATCCATGGGATTCTGTTTAAAATATTAAAATTTAATTTTCTTCTTAATAATAGAGCGGCCTTATAATGACTGTTGTTTTTGCCTTCTTAAATTGTTTGTGTATGATGCAGTTGGTTAAGTGTGCTCAATATTTTTATCGACAGTAAACATAAATTACTTAATAATTTCAAGAAATCTTAAATTTCCACAGGTCAGGCATCCCCTTCCTAAGCTACGGGGATCTTGCTCGTCACTCTTGTTCAACAAGCTTTAGTTGGATACGTCCATATAAGAATTTTGCAAAGTAGGGGAGTTAAAAATAAATTTAATGCTTTGTTTAAGGGCATTAGTTGATACCACCATTCTCTTCTTGGAATTCGGCTTTTGCAGTACTTACTATTTATTTATTGCAATCACTTTGAAAGAAGTAAAAATTTTTTGATTCTTTAATCCCTCCCTTTCCAATCACTCTTATTGGAGATCACTTAAAGGTCTGTTGAGCATATGAAAAGGTTACCTTTCTAAGGGACATGAAATTTTTTTTATCTCATATTTTTGAACTAAGAGTGGTAACTCTCGGAAATCCTAGGAACCGGAAACTTCTCCATCCCAGGATTTTCAGAATCTCACTCTCGGAAATCAGCAGACCGAAAATTTTATGATATCCGACCAATCTTTCGGATCCGCCAATTCTCAACAATTAGGTTTTTGCGATTGGCGAAAATTCAGAGAGGAGTTTCTCTCTTCCTTTCTGTACTATTAAATATTTTTTACAGTTTATATTTTTTAAAGTTTTACGATGAATTTTTTCATTCTTCCTCTGGAACTCCATTTCAATGGTTAATGGCTATTTATGTTCCTATGGTCCTCTTCAATTTTTTGAGAACACTAAAATTTATTGCCTGGCTGAGTACAATAGGGAATTTTTGTTTGATTTCAAGCTTAGCTTTTCTCTTACAGGTTGACCCGAAACAAAATTTTTTTGTAATTTTGCTTTTCAGTATGTCATTCGTTATCCAATCCATAGTATCGGAGAGATGCCTTTCTTCAATACCTTCGATGGATTACTCACCGCAGCCGGTTCAATCATCTACTCATTTGAAGCCCAGACACTTGTATTAATTATTAAACAGTTCCTGAATGGCTATGCGACACTTGCGGCCCGGCACTTGCGTTTTTAGTCAGATTTTATTTTGATTCTCTCTTTTTACTCTACCCCATAGGTTCGCAAATGTCGGGACGCAAGTGTCGCTCCTCGGTTCTGAATTTTTAATTATTATTAAAAATTACCTATTTTAAATTAATTATCAGAAGCCTTATCATTTTAAAATTGTTAAAAAATATTTTTCTCAAAAGGTCCTTCCAATGGAAAACAAATTAAAAAGACCCAGCCAAATGTTAGGGCCATTCGGAATTCTCTCAAGTGGCATTTCTCTTGCAACTTTGGTTTATTTGAGTATTGGATTCTTTGGATATGTTGCTTATGGTGATAAAATTAAAGGAAGTATAACACAGAATTTGCCTCAACATCAAATGTTGGTGTTAATAAAAAATTAGAACAAAAATATCCGCAAAAAATTTTATCCGCAAAAAAATTTAGTCCGCAAAATTTTTGCGGACTAAATTTTTGTCCGCAAATAGAGTCCGCAAAAAATGTTGCACAACAAAATACAGTTTTCATATGTCCGTATAAACGTTCAGAAATGTCCCAAAAATGACTATCACTTCAACTCTAAAAATCAAAATTTGTCTTTCCAGATCCTTTACCCTCGTCAAAATGGCAATTTGCATTTCTGTCCTAGCCTCTTTCCTTTTACAAATGTATGTAATTGTGGAAATTGTTTGGACAAAATGCCGCAAACTTTTATTTGAGGAACATATCGAAAATAAAATTTCCAAAGAGGATTACGAAAAAGACTCAAAAGATGATAGCTGTCAGTATGAGGAGAAGGAAGTTACTGACAACAAACGTTGGATACCTTTGCTCCCTCAACATTTTAAATTGGGCACTGAATTGTTAGTGCGGACATTGTTGGTGACTGTTTGTTGTTAGTTTTTTGTAAAATAATTCTCTCTAAGTGTCCCGGGGTCTATTTTTCAATCATCCTCCAAAGGGGATATTCTATAAGAGGGGAAGGGGTATTCAATTGGAGGAGAGCTTCAATTGTTATTCTATTGAAGGAAGTTTTCGAAGTTTTGTGACTTCCTTAAAAAACATGTAGTAGAGTTTCAGAGGTGAAAAAGGGCCTGAGGCCGATAAAAGGGTCCAGTCTCCCCCAAAGACTAGGCAAATGGAAAAGATCTAACTCAAATTGAGCTTTATCTGGTACTGATTATATAACCTACCTATACTTACCTATTAGGGATCGAACCGACCCGATTCCCGAAAATCCTGAATTTGATTTTTTGTCGGCGGATCCCTGCTATCTATTCTCACATAATCCCAGTATTCTCGCCTAAAAAATAAATTTTTTTTTCAGTTTTATTTGCCGCTGCCGTCCCCAACCTTGAACGAATTATTCCACTTGTCGGCATTACTTCCGGAATGCTTCTAGCCTTTGTCTACCCAACACTTATAGATCTTTTAACTTTTTTGCCTCAATTACGGGCATCTTTTGGTTGGAAATCCTTAAAAGTTCAGCTATTTATTTTAATTAATTTGGCCTTGGCGGCGGTTGGACTTTTTGGGATGGTAGCTGGTCTGAGAGCTAATATTATTGAAATATTGGCATCTACAGCAAGTCCGTCTTTGACAGAATCTGGATTGAATAACAATACCCAAATACATGCTAATATAAGCAATTTTACTTCATGATTCTCTTTTTGTATATAAAATATACTGTATGTTGTAGAATGGAATTCTCTCAAAAATTTTTGGGGTTTTTAATTATTTTTCTAATTTTTATAAATTATTCTACAACATATTCCACTAAAAATTGTGTTATATTAGCACTAATCTATATTTATTTAAAGTATATATTGAATAAAAATAGATAATAGGATTAATTATTTAGAGGATTGCATTGATCGAATGCGATATCTTCTAGGAGTTTAAAGGCCTTAAGTAACTCTTACCTCGATCCGATCTCCAATAGAGTGTTCATACTTGCAGAGAGTTAATAAACAAAAAATAAACTTCCATAGGGATGGATGGTGACATATTTCCTTGTGCCTGAGACTGGGTCCACTCCATGACAAAACCCTTTGATATCAGTATTAGCTTTCCTAACGAAATGCCTTCTTCGCAAAAATACCTTTTACCAAATTTGCCCCTTATTTCTTCAATTCATTTTAATTTTTAAATTTAAAAATTAATAAAAATTATAGTAAAAATTAAATTAGGCATTTAAATTACAAAATTAAAAAATTTTTTAAATTAAATTTCCAAATCTCCATCTTCAAATTTATATTCACAACATTCTTCTTCCTTTAAAATTAAAATATTCCTCTCTTCCCCATTTTTAATCATTTTTTCTTCATTGCTATGCCGCCTATGTTCCAAATTTTGTTGAATTCTTTCAATATTTTCTCCGCTCCTTTTAGCTTCAAGTAAAGAATGTCTAGAAGGTCTGTGGACCGTTATTGGAGTAAATAAAATTTTTGATTGACGTCTACTACTTAGAGTTGTTTGTTGGAGGTTTAGAAGATTGGTTGTTCCAACAGAAAGGTAGCTGGCGGACTCTCCACGTGAGAGGATGCGAATACGTGCAGAACCATTACCGCTAGTAGTTGTGAGACGTTCGGCAATGCTTACTTTAAAATGAGTTTTTTAAAGAACTTAAGAGAAGATATTTAAATTATGTTGCTAGATTAGCACTCTCAAGTCTCCTAAACTCCCTCACTCAAGAGCATCTTAAGTGCCTCATCGAGAGTCTCTTAAACTTCCTCCCTCAAGAGCCTCCTTAAACTCACTCCATCGAGAGCCTATTAAGCGCCTTCACTCAAGAGCCTCTTAAACTCCCTCACTCGAGAGCCTCCTAAACTCACCCCATCGAGAGTCTCTTTAGCGCCCTCCTTGAGACAGCTTAGTAAGCTTAGTAAATGGATTAGTAATGGACAGTTTAGCAAATGGAATTGGCAAGTCCGAAATGAGATCTCGAACGAAAAAGGCAGTTATCGAGATTGATATTATTTCGAGATATCGATCTCGATCGTCGTAGTCTCTCTCTTTCTCTTCAAGTCTTATCTCTAATTGAGAGGTCCTTTTAATATTTTTATCAAAAATTAACCGGCACTACAGCGTTTGGGTAGCGATGCTCTATGCAACAATGAAAACAAACTTGGCTCATATGCACTCTGTGCCTTAACGATAATTTTTAAATTCGTTTTAAAATGATTAAAATCACTTGATTTGTTGTAGTTTTAGTAGAGCCAGTAGTATTTTTAGAGTTGCTTTTGCTAATGGCATTTTTGGATTTATTACTATTTGTTCTATTAAGCATGGTTAATTCCATCCTTGTATTGTATAAATGAAACTGTTTGCAGCAATGCCCACAGCTTAGCCAGTTAGCTAAGGTGCTCAAAACACGAAGAAACCCTTTGCGGAAATTCTCAGAAACCAGTGGATACAGGATTGGATTTAATGTAGAATTACAATAAGCAAGAACCTAAAATTTTAATGTTTGATAATGATGAACTTATGCTAATAATTTTACGTATGCCAATATACTATAAGTAATTAAGAGTATATCTTAAATCGGAGGATGCTTAGGAATTTGCCCCATACCAGGATGAGACTTGTTGAGAAAAAAGTCGGTTGGGGTTTCAAAAATCCGGGTTTCTGGTATACGATTCAGACAACACATATACCTGCCCCAAACCTACTGGCCGGCCAATTTTAAATAATCTTCCCTTAAATTAGGGTCTTACCAATGGTGTGCGTATGTAAAAGAGCCCTTAAAGTTTATCACCTGCGGACAATATTTACAGACTTTTCCTTATCCTACTTATTTTTTGCCCGCAAAAAGTTAGGGGGATACCCTACTAATTTTTAAATTTTATTTTACTTGACTAAATATTTGTACAACCACAATAGGCTTTCCACCTCGCAATACCAACGTGTCTGGATAGATAACACCTTAAATAATTATTTTTCAAGAAAATTTAAACAGAAAATGCCTGAGGCAAAAAAACACAAATTTAACGGAAGCCAACAGACTGCCCAAATAATAACCACACATAGGACAAGTCTAGTAACCTTCCTTTTTGCTTTAATTGTTTCTGGTCGAGAACGGAGTGAACAGTTTGATCTTTCTGAATTGTTAGCGAATAATGAAGTTATCTAAATAATGATATATTTTTTTGGAAATTTTGTGATAGAAATGATGATTTTAAAGGGGTTTTCAAAAATCCCAGTTCTAGTTTTAAAATTAAATTACTTATAATCATGTTTTAGGCATGCTCACTAGAGATCGTGCTGGACCTAAACCAATGCCTGGGTTTTTCCTGTACCCAGAGTCCAGGTCCATGCATTTTTTGACCTTCCTGGGGTTTTTCTGGGCCTGGGTTGTTCCTGGATTATAAGCACAAGATCCGGCTCAGCTCAATAAATCAAACTCCAGAGTCCAGGAACAGTTTCAGGCTTTTCAAAAATCTCGATCTCTAATGCTCACGCTTACGGATAGAATATTCAAGTTTTGATACTTGGAAACACAAAAATGGGCTGATAGGATAGCCATCTCCGCAAAATATTTACACATATTAATGATACAACTCCAACTCCGGCGTTTCCCTTATCTTGAAACTTTCGGGGAATCCCTTTCACTAAGGTAATACAACTCTCATTCACCAAAAGAGACCAACCTTTGTAGGTGGTATTTTTGTATTATTGTCAGTACTCGATCTAAAAGGAGCATACCACAATCTTTTAAGCATCAAATAGTAAAGAACACAAGTAATACCCAGAGGGAGACAATAACCAAAAATATTAAATGAAAAAAAGTAAAGGCGTGCCTTCAAAATTTAAATTTTAGATTCGAAAAATATTCAAAATTTACTTCAGCTACGGTAGCTAAACCTTGAGCAATTGATACAATAGAACAAGCTGAACGTTGTTCCATTATAAAAGTGTAACTATAGACGCCATGGATACGTCCGACCTTTAAAATTTTTCTTGATTCAATCTCGATTTTAGGGGCCCAGAATGTTCTTGTCCGCAACAGAAATTTGCGGACAAGACAAACTGGAACTTTGTCATTGTTCGATGCCTTTTCTAAGAATATGGCCTTATTTTTGAGGTCTTTTAGTTTATAATGAGGGCGAGGAGGGAAAGGAGTATCTTAAATAGGAGTCTATATCTCCTATATTATCATCTATAGGAAGATATTCTACTGTCGCTAATAGATAAGGCATTAAAAATTATAAAATACTTTTACCAATTTTGTAGAAATTTTTTAAATTTACGTCTAAAATATACCTGAATTTGAGATAATAAAATAACAGCATATACAATTAAGAGCACAAAGAAGGTATTTTTTGGGGTACTAAAAATAAATCTTATTAAGAGATCCTATTAAAATTCACCGGAGAGTCATAGATTCAACCGGAAATACAACAGCAAGAAATCTGTCAGCTGCCATCAACGTTAATGTCCAAACAGAGAAATAAGCAGAAGAATGCTTTAATTTTAAATTAGAAATTTTTAATCCCAAAATCTTCAAACCTGTAAATAGTTTATAAGAGGGCACATCCACGTAGGCAAAACCCATATTGGAAAGGCGTAGTCAATGGCTGAAAAAGTTTATTTACTTCGATGAAAACTTTCTAGACTGCTTAATCACTTTAAGGGAAAGTATAATAATACTTGATATATCAATCTAGTAATACTCGATATACCCTCCAGAGATCATCAGATAATTTATGGGACTCAGAGGTACCATACTAGAGATTTAAGGAACTCAAGATCGAAAGGATTTGGGGAACTAAAGGCAATACTTTAGATTCAGGGATCAAGGACACAAGGATTTAAACCATTGGATAAACAAGGACCTTACTATAAGGATTTTATTTCAAGAAAACATTTAGGGAAAGGATTCAGTGGACCTTTCAGGGAACCAAAAACCCGTGTTGTTTAGACCTCTAGATCGGGCTTAAATAACTATTTAATAAATAGAAGTCCTCGAATTTATGGTTTGAGTTATAGACTGTTTAATCCCTTAGATAAAGTTCGACTTGAAATTCTCTGGTAAAAGAACTATCATTTAAAAATCTACCAGTAAAAGGTATACACAACGTCAAAAACATCAAATCAGAACAAGTCAATCCAATAATTAAAGTATTAGTCGAATTCCTCATTTGTCTATTCAAAGCAACTATCACAACTAACAAATTCCCTACTAGCCCAAAAAGGGCAAACAAAGCAAAAATTGACGGAATTATAATCCCCACTAATCTCTCAAAATTTCGAGTTTCTTCATAAAATTTTAGGAAAAATAAAGTTTCGTTATCGACAATTTCGGAAAATTGTTGGGATGTTTTTGTTGTTTCTAATCGGCTAAATGTTGTTGTAAGTGTGTTGTTTGGGTTGAAATAGTCGAACAAAACGATGTTTGAAGTGTTGTTGGGCATTTTTTATTTATGTTTTTGTTATGTTTCAAACATTAAATTTCTGATTTTGTTTATTCTAATATAAATTCCGATTAGTTAAAAATTGATAGAAAAATTAAAAAAAAGGAGGATGGACCTCTCTATTCATTATCTAACACGTGCCTCTACGTTTGAGGCTCTTATCAAACCGCGTGTGTGGTCCGAATAATAAGGGTTTAGATAAAAGATAAATTTATTACCCGTATTCCCGTTAAAATATGGGGGTGTAATCGAACTAGATAGGTGACTTTTTTTGATAGCTTATTAACAAGCTACAACAGTATTTGGCGTTTTTGTTAACCTGTTTAATTAGAAAAAGAGAATTTGCTTATGGAGGGCTTTCGAATGATACAGGATTCATTCTGAATAAATCAAGCCAAAAAGGCAAGCCTTGTGTAAAAAAAGTAAACTTTATTATATTTGACTCGAGCGAAGGATCCTAAAAATCCCTTTGGTATGCATCAGGGAACGATTCCCGAAATCGGTAATTAAAAACTTCTAGGGAATCCCGATTTCCTGAAAAGCGCGACTTAACTGAATTTTGTTTTATTGTCGGCTCGTTCCCTGATTTGTATGGCACGTGTTATAAAAACTAAAAGAATTTTCTTCCCTTTTTAACATTTTAAAATTCATTTTAAAATGAATTTTAATGAAAATTAAAGTTCTTAAATAGGGCATTTGGTTATTTTAACGTTTCACTAAATTGTTGTTCCCTGAATAAATAAAAAAGAAGGAAATGTGCCAAAAAGTGAAGTGCTAATCTAAAATTCAATTTCATTTCCGGGATGAGAGGAAAAAATACTTTTAGCTATTTACTTTTTTAATTAAAAAATGAAAAAGCGATAATTATCTCACTAAGAAAAAATTAAAATGTGTTAATTAGGGTTGTTGGTTCTAAGAAGTTTTTTGTATGGCTTAGAGAAAGCTTTCGAAACGTGAACATATCTAGCAGAGAGACGAAAGCGAAGTTTTCTTATGTCCGAAAATCCCGTGTTTGCTAGTTCGGTTTCGATCGACAAACACGGCCTTACCATAGGCTTTACTCAAAAGGTTCATTTCATTAGAGGGGGGTTCCTAATATAAATTGGTGTTAATTCTTCGTATTGGTCTCAGCGAAAGACATTCTAGGTGACTTTTTAGATGGACTTTTGAGTGAATTTTTATTATAACTAAGTAGGCTAGATTCCTTCATAAAATGACAAAAAATCTTTTTTTAACAAATAATTTCATTTCTTAAAAATTTGGCGCAGTTCTAAAAATTATTATTAAAAAAATAAGGGAGGTCCTTCAATTTTCTCATTTTTCTTTCAATTGCTTACGCATTTCAGTATAACTAACACACATCCAGGCTCTTTTTCAAATGAGCGCGAGCATAAAAAATAAAATTTTCTCCATGTATCATAAGTTAATTTAGCGCTAACTAGTAAGTAGAAGTATTACTTACATGAAAAAATATAAAAAAATTTTCATTGACACATCCTTCCCTTTTTTTACTTTTTTGTGCCAATTCCTCTCACTTTTTTTTAATTTTACCCTCAAAATGTCTATCCCTCTTGTCTTATTCAATCAGTGGTCGCCGCATCAATTTTCCATTTTTTAAGAGAAATTGACACATAAAGCCCCTCTCCTATAGAGCTAATTTACTTTTGGCATGATATTAAAACCTCTATATTCTTTTGCCTCAGGCAATCCTCAAATACTTCCCTTCAATACGTCATTACTCGTTTTCTCTCTCAAAATCCCCTTCCGTTCTAACCTTTGATGTTAAGGGGAAATAATTAATAAAAAAATGGAAAAGAACGAGTTTAAACTTTGAGGATGAAAATTATTTGAAGAATAAAGATGAAGAATCAAAGACAATAAAAGAGGAGTATTTCTATTGTTCTAGAGATTAATTTGAATAAAATAACGTTAAATAAAGGCTGTAAGCCCGGATGTCCAGAAATTTTCGGTTCGGATATCGGATCCGGATACCCGAAGATCTCCTATCCACCAACCTTAAAAGGCAGGCTTCCAAGAAATAAAAATAGCCTAAATTTTGTATAAAGGATTTAGGTAAATGCATAATAAGAGCGATCCACCATAAAGCTATTATCTAATTACGGAAGTTAACTCAAAGAGCCTGTCTCTAACAGGAGTCTAGCCGACCCTATACCTAATTCCTGAAAACGGGGAATTTATTTTTTGGCCAGCTAGATCCCTTCCATCTAGGAGAATATACAGACCTATTGAAAATTATGCAACTATACATATTACCTTTAAGAATTAAAAAAATTTATTGGATATTAAATTTGTACCATATACATAAACAAAATTTTTAAACCCACAATATATATATATTATTTTACATCAATCTCTTTTATTTAGTCTCCATATTGTGTGCAACTTTAAGTTCGATATTTAAAAATTAAAAAAATATCTACGTACTTGCAAAAATTGCAAGAATTTGGACAATTTTGAAGCATATAACAATCAGGTTTTCCATTGGTACGACAATAGCATAAACCTTGCGTAGCCCAAGCTCCACAAAAATTGGAAGTATCAGTACATTCTATAATATTTATTGATATTCCATGTAAATTTTGGACATTTCCTCACCATCAGGATAGCAATAAAGTTTATTAATTGCATCCACATCTGCTTGGGTAAGTCCTTTACGTTGGCCCATTAAGTCATCATTAATGTCCGGATTTACTTTTGAAGTCATTGTATGTAAACCGAAATCCCTTGCACCAATTTTATACGAGTAGTGCATTATACTATCACATTTATATTGAATGCCATAACTGCAAAATGTGATAAATATGAGAAACTAGCACGGGAATAGAGCCTAGATTCGATAGGTGACAGTATTCTCATCGAATTGAGTTCTCGGTGTTTTCGAAAAGTTTTGAGATATTTCGAGACTGAGATTTCTCGTGATTGTTGATATCTACCCTCGAATTTCAACAATTATGAGAGTCGATATCGCCACTTGGGACGTTAATGCCCCTGGATATATGGCTCTTCCTCATAGGCTTGTATTCAGAGTCATTAGCAGTCCTTTATAGAGGCATTGACCAATCTCCTAGAAGGGTATTCAATCCTAAACGCCTTCTAAGGTTGTTTCCTTTACCTCGAGTAAGTTGAACCATCAGCTGGAACATAATAATCCAAAAACTGTGCATCAATATTATCCCAAAGAACAGTAATACTATCATCTCTATCTGTTTTCGAGACTTATTTTTATTTTTAAAATACTATTACCAGGTCGAATATGTTCGTGTTCAACACCAAGTGCATGCATTACTTCATGACAGGCTACTCCAGCCATATCATTGCAAAGAAAGGATAGGTAAATTGGGTTAGATGGTGTATATACACCTATATAGCTTAATCCACAGCTTTGAAAGAAAATTTTTTTTTAAAATAAGTATGTCAAACCACACTATAGTATACCCCATATATTAGATATACAAGTTAAGATAACTTCTATAGAAATTCGGTTGGCTACTGGGTGGCTTTAAAGTTTTTTACCAGGTCTATTAGACCTCTGTCTTGATTCCCTTGAATCGATTTGATCCCCTTCACCCCTCTTGATCGGTCTTAATCCCAAGGAGGTCTATCTATCTATAAAATTAAACATACTAAGCGGTTGTTGGATACCTAACAAAATATATTGAGGAAATATTAGGAGGTCTGTCAGAAGTTGCATCAAGGTTAGTTTCCGTAAATGTAACACAAGTTTTCGAAGTAATCTCTTGAATACAGGTTCTAATAACGTCTCTTTGTCTTGTATCTTGAATTAACAAAGATTTAAAATTCGAAAAATTCGAAAAAATCAGACTTAAGGATTTATCAAAGCCATAAGGTATAGGCTTTCCAATTGGCCACTTTCTTGTTGGGGAAGTTTTGAAATAAATTAGATTGCCAGCTCGTTTTCTTCGTCCATTACTTTCGTCGGGAATAGCGATAGAATATTCCAAAGTTGAATTAAGTTGGGCAATATAGGCTTCGGCTTGTTCTAAGGTGAGGAGGTTGTGACCATATAAGCCGTTGTCTGCCGGTTTTGACTTAAATTTAAAATAATACTGAAAGCTATCAAAAGGCTCTCTCATGCCAAGGGCCCTCTTAGAATAATGCTCACCCCTGTAAAATATGCCAAGGATTCTCTCATTCCAAAGGCCCCCCCCCATCTCAAATGATAACGAAGGCCCTTACATGTCAGAGCCCTTCCCCAACTAAAATAGTGCCGAAGAGGGCAAAGCCCTTATGAGAAGGCTCTGATGTAAAATAATTCCGATCACCCTCACATGCCAAGGTCTCCATCTCTCTCTCTCAGTCTCCCAAGGTCTCCAAGGTGCAGAAGAACCCTTTCTTGTATTAAAACATTAAAAACCTACAAAATCATCAACCCCCACTTTTTCATAAATAATTTCTTTAAGTTCATAAGTTCTCTGCATTTTCGTTTCCACATATTCATCAATTTCTTCAAGAGTTTTGTCTGGGCTATAAATTCGTTTTTCTATCTTAAAAAATTTTTAAGCAACTATGCTAGTTTAAGCAGTGATATGTCATAATCGGCAAGGGTTGCACGGCTATTTTTATGTTCATCTTTATCCTCTTTGCAACTATTTCCCGGGCAATTTTTCTTTGAAATTTTAATTTTTTATTATTTTTTAAGCTTTTCTCCAGCTTACCCTTAAAGCATCAATATCTTCCTTCTTCATTTTCTTCACCTTCCCAGGCGGCAACTTTTTCTTATATTTGTTCGGAAGCCCTTCTGTCGGATCTTTTATTTTGTGCTTTTTAGGTGGCTTTTTAGCATTCTTCTTGAATTTTGGGAACTTGAAAAATTTTTTAAAAATTTTGCCTTTTGTCTAGCTCACTTTTTTGCCTTCGCCTTTCCCTTTACCTGGACCATAAGGTGCTTCAGGTATTTCCCCTTCAGTTATGATGTATTCAGGTTTACATTCTGGATCACTCTGATTTTCTGTACAATACCTAAAGAAAAATTTTAGTAAACCTAACAGCTTCTTTTCCTTCCTCAAAAGTCCGTAAATTTTATTTAAGTGAAAATTTTGTCCGCAAAATAGTTGCGGACAAAATTTACGGACAAATACTTGCGGACAAAATTAATCCGCAAAATAATTGCGGACAAAATTTGCGGACAAATAATTCTTAAATTTTATTTAAAGACATAAACAACCGCATAATTCTCCGTTTAGCTGCTGGAGAATATCCATCAGCATCATCTGGCGCATAGTAGTCTGCATCGATTCCGTTAATTAATTTCTTCTGCTAAATTTAATTAATAAAGAAAATTGGATTCTTTTGGGATTACACTCAGATCTCGGTTTTACATGAACCCTTGGGGAAACCGAGTTTTTCGAAATCTAGCTACGAGTTTTGCCAATCAAAAAATTTTTTTACCTTGCCTTTCCCGTTCCCTCCTTTGTTTCCGTTCCCATTTCCGCCTCCTTTGTTTCCGTTCCCATTCCCTTTATCTTCCTTCCCTCCTCCTTTGTTTCCGTTCCCATTCCCTTTATCTTCCTTCCCTCCTCCTTTGTTTCCGTTCCCATTCCCTTTATCTTCCTTCCCTCCTCCTTTGTTTCCGTTCCCATTCCCTTTATCTTCCTTCCCTCCTCCTTTGTTTCCGTTACCTCCTCCTTTGTTCCCATTTCCTCCTCCTTTGTTTCCTTTTCCACCTCCTTTGTCTACTTCCCCTCCTTCAATGTCTCCTTCCTCTACTTTGTTTTCTCCTCCTCCATTATCTCCTATCACCCCTTCATTGTTTTCTTCCCCACCTCCTTTGCCATTTTTCCCTCCTCCTCCTTTATCTTCATTTCCTTTTCCATCTGTAAAACTAGATCATGAAAATACAAGTTGAATGAAAAACGATTAATTTATTATGAATATCTGTTGATATGTTAGGCTAATAATTAGGGTTGAGCGGTATTGGTATTCTGAGAAAAAATCGGTAGCGGTATTTTGGAATGATGATACCGATACATCTTTTGTATTGATAACGGCTCGGTACAATCAATTGCAGAATCTAGATTTATAAAATTTCCGGCTCTATTAAAAATAGTCCTTTATCATTTAGATTATTCTAAAATAAAGGGCAATCCTCAGAAAATTTTTAATCCTATAATAAACAAAAATATAGATATCTCACCTTTATTTTTATCACATTTAGTTAAAAAAATAAAAAATAAAATTAAAAATATTAATAAAATATTTTTCATTTTTGGGTATTTCTTGATAAAATGATTATATTATTTATATATGTTAATGTTTTGTTTGTTTTGTTTGAATAAATAAATTTGTCATTTCCTCAATTCTTTTTAAAAATTTTTATTGTTAAAGCATAATTCCACGCAGCCTTTACCAACCCATGTTTATTTTTTATATTTTCTATTTTTATTTTTTTAACAATTTAGACATTTATTCAATACTTTATAATTTTATTTCCGCCTAAAGACCTTGATTTTTTTGCTTCGTTTTTCTAATTTCACAAAAATTCTAAAATTTGGAAATAATTTTTAAAAATAGAAGAAATATCACTGCGAGACTGAAAGACGATCCGTGCCCACTTCATTGTAAAAGAACACGTACCACTTGACACGGACGACTGTCAAGTTTTGAGTGTTGAGTAGGGTTGTCGGTTCCTGGAAAATTTTCGGATATCCGAGAACGAACTGAAGAACAGACCCGAAGAACCGAACCGAAAAATCCTCGATTCTTCGGTTCAGGTCGGTTCAGAACCGACAAACTTAGCGTCGGGTGGTACGTGTTGTTCCTACGATAAAATAAAAAAGGCACGGAACTAAACGCTTGATCCATTGTGTGAGTAGTGTAAAAGGGACGGCCCTGCCGAATTCAAAAAAATTGAAGACTGAAGCTTGTTTCAAAATTTGTAGTTGAATTGTATAGGATTTTATTTTTAATACGAGCACGAGAAAAGAATATTTTAATTAAAAGTATAGGCCAAAAATAAATTTACTGGCCTTAAATTTTCGGCTCCGGTACAAAATATGGAATCGTTAAAATATGGAATGGTTAAAATCGCGAATAGGCTAAAAAGGGGTTAAAATACCGAATCGTTAAAATATGGAATGGTTAAAATATCGAATCGGGTAAAAAAGGGTTAAAATATGGAATCGTCAAAATATCGAATTGATAAAATGTCGACACGGCCAAAATGGGTCAAAATGTCGAATTCCTTTAAAAAAGGTTCAGATGAGTGCCATACGTTGATTGTTGATAATTTTATCAACCTATCAACTTACTGCTGATAAGTTGGTTGAAAAGTTTGGTAAGTCTTAGTCCGGCGTAATCTTTTCTCCTGAGTTCAGTGTATTTTACGGAGTAAAACCGGACCGGTTAAATCAAGCATAATCGACCGGATCCGATCCGGCATGATCGTACGGATCCGGAAAACACAACAGGATCCCGATACGGAAAAATTAGAGTAGCGTCACTAGTTTTTAGTTAAGACCTAAATTTTGTACCTTACCGTATAAGGTACGGAATACCGAAAAATACCGATCAGCTTTTAAATTTTATCGGTCGGCATTCCGTACCGTACTACCGAAACGGAATACCGAAAAATACCGTCGGTATTACGGTAACGCCCGGATTTTAGGTTTTGGCGCCATTTTTAAAAAAAATTCGACATTTTGACCCATTTTGGCCGTGTCGACATTTTATCAATTCGATATTTTAACGATTCGGTATTTTAACCCCTTTTTAGCCTATTCGCGATTTTAACCATTCCATATTTTAACGATTCCACATTTTGACCCCTTTTTAGCCTATTCGCGATTTTAACCCATTTTTACCCGATTCGAGATTTTAACCCTTTTTTAGCCTATTCCATATTTTAACGATTCGATATTTTGTCCGGACACGAAATTTTCAATTTTTTGGATTATCTCTCTTACATATATGCGTAAATCTTTTATTTATTAATAAATTTAAATTGAACATAAAATTAATAGTATTTTCAATAATATTTTCAATAAACTATCGCAAATTTATCAAATTTTATATTTTACAAAAATTCTTATATTTCAGTTAATGCCATGTGATGTACAACTTAAAAAAAAATTTTAGGGCAAATAAAAAATTAAATTTATACTTGCAAAAATTGCAAGAATTTCGGCAGTTTCCAAGCATATAACAGTCTGGCTGTGCTGTATTACCACAATAGCATAACCCTTGTATAGCCCAACCCCCACAAAAATTGGAGTTGTCTGTACAGTCTGCTAAAAATAAATTTTGATATAAGAGCAGGGTCTCTTGAGATCTTATCATTAAACCCTTGCGGGTATTAACGGTTGTCCCATTTATTTATAGTTCCTATTGGCAGACTTATACCTAAAGACCCATTAGCAAATGTAGGTAATCGGTTCGTATCAAAATAGAGCTTAAACAAGATATATATCCTTAAGACATAGCAAGGATCTAGCCGACATAAAAATAAATTCCCGATTTCGGCAAATCGGGAAAGATCCAGAAAAACGTCGAAAATTTCCGATTTGCGTGGGTCAGCAATTGGGTCAGTTAGATCTCCCGATACATAGAAGCAAGTCCGTTGAACCTATAAATAAACCCTTTTCTCGTTTTTTATAAGCCTACAAAGTGATTTGATCAGGTCTCCTAAAAGCGATCCAATTAAAAAAATATTTATTACCTTGTGGAAGGCAATAAAGCTTATTAATAGCATCAACATCTGCTTGGGCTAATCCTTTACGTTGCCCCATTAAAGGATCGTTAATGTCCGGATCTACTTTTGCAGTCATTGTCTTTAGACCATAACTCCGCGCACTAGTAGTACTTGAATAGTGCATTATACTATCACAATGATAGGGAATTCCAAAGCTTAATAAATAAATTCAGATTTGTGAAATATCCCTCTCTTTGGCGATCGGGCCGATTAAAAGAAAATAATTAAAAATAGGTTGGAATTGGCCCCAACAAAGGCAGTTATTGCTAGAGACGAGACGAGATCTTGATCGAAAATCTCGGTTATCGAGATCTCGATTCTCGTACGATACTCCCAGTTAGGTCTATAGTTATCACTAGACAAGCTTCAATCATCATGTTTAGAATTTGCTTCCTTTATTATAAATCTTAAACAATGTTACCCAGCTAACCCTTTGCTTCCTTACAGCCTTTATTTGCTCAGCCAGTACACCGCTGACTCATTTAATTATTAGATTATCAAACAGGCCCTCTATTAATCTCAACAGGCTCCTCCAACCAGCCCTATATAGCTAGTCCTATGTTTCGAATATTGAATGTCTTAGTACCTCGAAATGATCGAATGTCTTATAAGACAGCCCTTGATTTAAGAGAGTCTTCAAACTACCTCGAATATTCTGCCGAATCTGCTAAGGCAAAAGAATCGTACGATTGTGGATCAATATTAGTCCAATTCACAGTAATACTATCATCTCTATCTATTTTTCAAATTTTCTCTTTTATTTTATTTTTAAAAATACCGGGTCGAACATGTTCATGTTCAGCACCAAGTGCATGCATAACTTCATGACATGCTACTCCAGGCATATCATTGCAAAGAAAGGATAGGTAAATAGGATTATATGGTTCATTTACGCCTATATAGCTAATTCCACAGCTTTAAAGGGAAGGGGAAATATTTTATTTTTTAAGGAATATAGTGAGGGTGATAGTAATGTCATATTTAGAACCTCCCATTTTGGCCGTGTCGACATTTTATCAATTCGATATTTTAACGATTCGGTATTTTAACCCCTTTTTAGCCTATTCGCGATTTTAACCCATTTTTACCCGATTCGAGATTTTAACCCTTTTTTAGCCTATTCCATATTTTAACGATTCGATATTTTGTCCGGACACGAAATTTTCAATTTTTTGGATTATCTCTCTTACATATATGCGTAAATCTTTTATTTATTAATAAATTTAAATTGAACATAAAATTAATAGTATTTTCAATAATATTTTCAATAAACTATCGCAAATTTATCAAATTTTATATTTTACAAAAATTCTTATATTTCAGTTAATGCCATGTGATGTACAACTTAAAAAAAAATTTTAGGGCAAATAAAAAATTAAATTTATACTTGCAAAAATTGCAAGAATTTCGGCAGTTTCCAAGCATATAACAGTCTGGCTGTGCTGTATTACCACAATAGCATAACCCTTGTATAGCCCAACCCCCACAAAAATTGGAGTTGTCTGTACAGTCTGCTAAAAATAAATTTTGATATAAGAGCAGGGTCTCTTGAGATCTTATCATTAAACCCTTGCGGGTATTAACGGTTGTCCCATTTATTTATAGTTCCTATTGGCAGACTTATACCTAAAGACCCATTAGCAAATGTAGGTAATCGGTTCGTATCAAAATAGAGCTTAAACAAGATATATATCCTTAAGACATAGCAAGGATCTAGCCGACATAAAAATAAATTCCCGATTTCGGCAAATCGGGAAAGATCCAGAAAAACGTCGAAAATTTCCGATTTGCGTGGGTCAGCAATTGGGTCAGTTAGATCTCCCGATACATAGAAGCAAGTCCGTTGAACCTATAAATAAACCCTTTTCTCGTTTTTTATAAGCCTACAAAGTGATTTGATCAGGTCTCCTAAAAGCGATCCAATTAAAAAAATATTTATTACCTTGTGGAAGGCAATAAAGCTTATTAATAGCATCAACATCTGCTTGGGCTAATCCTTTACGTTGCCCCATTAAAGGATCGTTAATGTCCGGATCTACTTTTGCAGTCATTGTCTTTAGACCATAACTCCGCGCACTAGTAGTACTTGAATAGTGCATTATACTATCACAATGATAGGGAATTCCAAAGCTTAATAAATAAATTCAGATTTGTGAAATATCCCTCTCTTTGGCGATCGGGCCGATTAAAAGAAAATAATTAAAAATAGGTTGGAATTGGCCCCAACAAAGGCAGTTATTGCTAGAGACGAGACGAGATCTTGATCGAAAATCTCGGTTATCGAGATCTCGATTCTCGTACGATACTCCCAGTTAGGTCTATAGTTATCACTAGACAAGCTTCAATCATCATGTTTAGAATTTGCTTCCTTTATTATAAATCTTAAACAATGTTACCCAGCTAACCCTTTGCTTCCTTACAGCCTTTATTTGCTCAGCCAGTACACCGCTGACTCATTTAATTATTAGATTATCAAACAGGCCCTCTATTAATCTCAACAGGCTCCTCCAACCAGCCCTATATAGCTAGTCCTATGTTTCGAATATTGAATGTCTTAGTACCTCGAAATGATCGAATGTCTTATAAGACAGCCCTTGATTTAAGAGAGTCTTCAAACTACCTCGAATATTCTGCCGAATCTGCTAAGGCAAAAGAATCGTACGATTGTGGATCAATATTAGTCCAATTCACAGTAATACTATCATCTCTATCTATTTTTCAAATTTTCTCTTTTATTTTATTTTTAAAAATACCGGGTCGAACATGTTCATGTTCAGCACCAAGTGCATGCATAACTTCATGACATGCTACTCCAGGCATATCATTGCAAAGAAAGGATAGGTAAATAGGATTATATGGTTCATTTACGCCTATATAGCTAATTCCACAGCTTTAAAGGGAAGGGGAAATATTTTATTTTTTAAGGAATATAGTGAGGGTGATAGTAATGTCATATTTAGAACCTCCCAGATAAGAGAGCCCTTGATTTAAGATATAATCTTTTTAGTTCGATTAGACACTTTGTTAGTTATGTAGCTATCAATACACATTAGGTGAGCAGGGGAGCGCAATATCCCCCCCCCCCAAGACAGTTTAAATTATGGTTACCCACTAGATGGGTTACCCACACCCTCGAGATACCCCCAAGTTGGTATCTTGAGGTTTGACAGTATTTTGATAAGGATTATTAAATAGATAATAAAGTGATTGATAAAGGAATAAACCTACAAGGATGTAGTAATATATCTAACAAAATAAATTGAGGAAATATTTGGGGCTGAACCATTAAGTGCTAATTCTGTAAATGTAAGACACGTTTTAGAAGAAATCTCTCGAATACAAGTCCTTATTTGTTCTCTCTGCCGTTCAGCTTAAAATGACATAAAATTAAAATATTGGAAAAATAATTAGGGTTTAATGGGAGTCTTTCTAGTAGAGAGGCCCTCTCTATTAGAAAACATTGTGAGGTATTAAAGGACTATGGTCCTGCGAATAGAGATAGAACGCTAATCGTCGTTCTGCTCTATAGCAAAGACGAATCCTTTTTAGAGGGAGAGTCCCTTATAGAGGGAGAGTCCCTTATAGAGGGAGGTCCATAATATAGAGAGTTTGCCGTAGCTGACAGCGGGGGTCTGTCGGAATTCTGATTTCCAAAAATTTAGGCTGATTTCCGACTTTTGAGCCATTTCCGATTTCCGATAGTTCCGAGTTCCGACACCTTCATTTCCGACAGATCCCTGGTTGACAGTATTATTAAAAATAATTTTTGATTTAAATTAAAAACCAACATAAAGAACTATCAAAACCATAGGGTATGGGTTTTCCAATAGGCCACTGTTTTGTCGGCGCTATTTTAAAATAAAGCAAATCTCCAGCTCTTTTACTTCTTGCTTTATTATTTTCTGGAATTACATGAGAATATTCCAGACTTGAATTTAGTTTATTAATTAATGTATTGGCTTGTTCTAAGGTTAGCAACATGTGATCAAAAACTCCATTATCCGCTGGTTTTGCCTTAAAAAATATTTTTTTGTTTTTATGATATATCCAAGGGATCAACACCTACAGGAGAGATTAGTGTCCGGCAGTGCTCGGTACTGCCGAGGACTACCGAAGTACCGTATCAGTACTTACTGTAAGACTGGCGGATCCTGGGAAGCTTCGGATATTCTGATCTGAAATCCAAACGAGATTTTCGGATATCCTGTCTCATTTTCGAATCCGGATAGTCGGATCTGCCAAGCTTATTTTCCGGTACCGTATGTTAGGACTGGACTTTCAGGTACTCGTTCGTACCGGTAATAAAGCCGTTTGCCGAACACTGGAGATCAACAACCTTAGGGATAAACACAAAAAAATCCGAAATCCAAATCCTAAAGGATAAACATAAGGGGATAAACACAAAAAGATAGCGTTTATCTTTAGGATGTTCGATTACTCTTTTGAATAAATTTTCTGAAAAAAATTAAAATTTACAAATTCGTTAATACATGCTCTTCCATACAAAAATCTTTTCACTGCATAAGTTCTCTGCAATCTAGTCTCCACAATTTCGTCAATATCAGCAAGTGGTTTATTTGGACTAGAATTTTTATTTTTATTTAATTTTTAAACGACCCTTAGAAAATAAAATTAAAAACTATGCTAGTCGAAGCATTGCTACTTCATAATCTCCAAGTACTGCACGAATGTGTTTATGCTCATCAGTATCTTGTTTACAAGTATCGCCGGGACAATTTTTCTATGAAATTAATTTTTTCATTAATTAGAAAATTAGTGTTATTTTTTAGAATGTCAAACAATGTTTGCGAAAACAAGTCCGCAGGAAAAAAAAGTCCGCAAAAATAGTCCGCAAAAAAAGTCCGCAAAAATAGTCTTCAAAAAATGTCCGCAAATAAAAATCCAAAAGAAAATCCTCAATAACACACTCCAATTTTTAAGGCCGCCAATTTTTATTTTTAAATTTAAATTAAATTTTTCTATTCACCTTAATAGCGTCTATAGCTGCTTGATCTAATTTCCTTCCATAACCAGGTGGGATCATATCTCTAAATTGTCTTGGAATTTCATTTAACAAATTTTTTAATTTGTATTGTGGTACTGGATTGTCAATATATTTTTTAAATTCTGGAAACTAAAAGAATTAAATATTAAAAATTAAATCTGTGTAGTTAACATCAGTATAATTATCAGCCTTTAATGGATCTTCCAAGTCAGGTGCAGCATTTGGAATTATCCACTCTGGTTTGCATTTGGGATCTGTCTTTTTCATTGTACAATAGCTTAAAATATTTTTTTTGATAATTTAAAAACAGTTCGCAAAAAAAAAGTCCGCGGGAATAGTCCGCAAAAAAGTCCGCAAGAAAAAGTCCGCAAAAAAAGTCCGCAAAAAAAGTCCGCGGGAATAGTCCGCAAAAAAGTCCGCAAGAATTGTCCGCAAGAAAAGTCCGCAAAAAATTGTCCGCAAAAAAAGTCCGCAAAAAAAGTCCGCAAAAAAAGTCCGCAAGAATAGTCAGCAAAATATAGTCCGCAAGAAAAGTCTGCAAAAAAAGTCCGCAAAAAAGTCCGCACGAAAAGTCCGCAAAATATAGTCTGCAAGAAAAGTCCGCAAAAAAAGTCCGCAAAAAAGTCCGCAAGAAAAGTCTGCAAAAAAAGTCACAAAAAAAGTCCGCAAGAAAAGTCCGCAGGAATTGTCCGCAAAAACAGTCCGCAAAATTGATCTCTATCTGATTTCTGATAAATTTTAACCAACCGAATTATTATTCGCATGGCATGCATTGTATATCCTTCTGTATTTTTGGGGGCATAATAATCCACGTTGATGCCTTCAAGTCTACTAGAAGCAGATTGAACAGTAATAATAAATAAAATATTTATTAAAATTATAAATAAAAATTGTTGCATTTTTATATTATTTTTAAGCTTTTTATTTACATAAATATACATTAATACCCTTAAATTGAAATTTAAGATTTTTAAAATTTTTAAAAAATTTTAAAGATTATTCAGCTCCTTTTACAGTAGCCACGAAGATGATGAGATAAATTGGAGAAAAGTTTGGAGGGAATGGAAAATGGAAAGCATGGGTGGAGGAAGCAACCCCAATTTTCCGTGAAGAGGGCTGGGGTAATATAAAATCCACAGGTATGAGAGTTTGATGTCTAGACTAGAGACTGGACCAAGACGAGATCTCAAAAATCAAGGGAGACGGGATAATTAAATCTACCGGCATTAGAGTTTGATGCTAATAATAGAGACCGGACCGAGACGAGATTCAAAAATCTTGGTTATCGAGATTGAGATGTTTTTTTCATTTTTTCGGGCTCTCGATTCTCGTACAAATCTCCCAGTCCGATCTCTAGTCTAGACAGTCCCTTCATACAAGAGGAGGGTCGGAACAGTCAGAGGTGTCGGAACTCGGGAATGGCTCAAAAATCGGAAATCTGAATTCCGACCCATCTTTGCTTCATACAAAGAGAGGTTAGAGTGTGCAGATCCGAATACCCAGGTCAGGAAAAAGCATGGAAGAGGCGAATCTTGGAAAGTCCGGAGATTTTTGTTCGGATCTATAATCCAGATATATTTATTGATTTCCCAGGATTTTCCAGGATTCGACACTCCTATCCAACAATAAAAATAATTTTTTTAACTAAAGAAATTAATTTTTAAAAATTTTTATTAAAGCATTTAAAGATTATAATAAATAAATTTTTAAAAATATATTTTATTAAATAAAATATTAAACAGTCGGTTCTCTCATTTTTCCCAACTTTTTTTTATTATACATAAGCGATGCTTGATAATTCCACGCAGCAATATTCCAACATGCATATAAATTTTTAAATTTTTTATTTTAAATATAGTTAATATTTTAAACGTCATAATACATTTTTAATAAATATTTTTATAAATTATTTATTTCCTCGTAGATGGTTTTGAAATAAATTTTTTTCTAAATTAAATAAGAAATGTGTGGTGTGATCGAAATGTAGTCGAGATAGAGTGCGGTAGAGGCTCTAAAAAACAGGAAAAAAAGGATGGTAGTTGGCATAGTGAGTAAGATGATACATAGTTGAGAAAGTCGTGATGGGAGGTATAGGAAAGTTCTGCTGAGATAAATGGAAGATAGATAAGCAAGTTGATAGGTTAGAGGAGATATCATTATCAAGGATCAGCCATATCATTATCCTAGCAAATTAAACTTAAAGGATTAAAGAATGGTCAAAAATTTCAATTTCAAAAATCTAATTTCCAACTCTTTCGGGTAGTTTAAAGCGACCGATCCCAACAAGCTAATAACAAAAAAAATTAATGGGATCTTATCCTGCTAGCTCTCCGAAGCAAAGATGTTAACTAGTGATGGGAAATTTCCAAAATTTTTCCCTGGAACCGGTTCCAGTTCTGGAATTGCTTTTCAAATTTCTTCGATTCCAGTTCCGAAACTGGACCTGGAACTTTCCCATCACTAGTGTTAACCACCGACTGTTGGTTTTAATTTTTGTTCTACATATTTACTTGTTCGGAAAGAAACTTAGCTAGTCTTACAATATTTTCCGATTTTTGACACCTCCCATTAAATTTACCCTTAAATAAGCTTGGTATTTCAAATTTTTTGTTTAACCAAAAAAAGCCTTTTAAGAATTTCAAAAATTATTTTAATTTCCACGTGTATTTATTCAGTCAAATAAATACATAAAAATGGATTTTTTTTCTCAGCCATTCTAAAAGTTGACTAGGACATAAAATTAAAGTTAATTTAAAAATATTTTTAAAAATTGTTTTGAAAAAAATTTAACTTTCATTCTTAGTAAGCTTCAGTATTCAAAAAATATTTTTCATGAAATCGGCGTCATTTGGGCCACGTTAACATTTTATTTAACAAATTCTACTTTCTTAAATAAAAAATTTTTTAAATTAATTTTACTAAAATATTTAGAGTTCGAACTTTTCAATTTGCCGGCCCGATATCCTGGTTTTTTTTCTTGCAATCCGACATGGGCCGCGTTTCCGGGCTAAAACCACGAGAATCCGAAAACCCCGAAAACCCTGATTTTATCAAAATAACCGGTTTCCGGCTAACGGGCCCGAAAACCCGAACACGGGTCCGAGTTCAAACTCTAAAAATATTTATATTATAGATAGGTCTGTTGTTTGGTCATTTTTTTGATTTTTTTTCTCACTTATTTTCTCGGGTTTTCAAGTTTGCTGGGCTTTACTGGGTCCGAGTTTATATTATAGATAGGTCTTTGGTATTTTTTTAGACTTTTCTTAGTTTGTTTGAATTTTCTGAGGGCTTTTCCGAATTTTCTGGGCTTTCAGGGTTATTTTGGGGTTTTAGGGTTTTGTGGAGTTTATTTGAGATTTTTTCCTATTCTTCCATTTTTTCTGGGGTTTCTAGGCTTACTGGTTTTTTAGAGTTTTTTTGACTGTTTTTCCGATTTTCTAGTTTATTTTATAGTTTTTCTGTGTCTACTGACTTTTTCTTATCTTTTACCAATTTTTCTGGGTCCTAATCTTTAACTCTCTCTCAGAGAGAGAGTTAAAAGCAGAAAACTCGACAAAATTGATTGTCGAGTTTTCTGCTACCTTCTTTTCTTTTAATCAGACTTGTGATTTTTCAGAATTTGGTCAGGATTTTTTTCTGAAAATTAAAAATACATACTTGTGGGATAATTTTATTTGGTTTTAATTTATAAAATAGTGAAAGCCATGGAAATTGTTTGTAAAAAGCTTGTCGATATTCTTCACTAAAATTATTTAATTAAAATAATTTTTTTGAGGTTTCCTTGCCTTGTAATTAAAAGAACTATAGGATCACTACTTGCTACAATACAGGCAAAAACATTAAAGGAAGCTGATAATATCCATTTGATATATGAATCATTTGTGACTAAATAAATAATGACGAAGCCCAGATTACTGATACACCACCCACAAACTTGGATAGACATTATAATCATTAATGAATGGAAAATTGATTGCCGAGTATGGATATCTTAAATTATTTAAATAGAATTTTATTCTGATTTTTAATTCTGATTTTTAATTCTATTTTTTAATTCTGATTTTTAATTCTGATTTTTAATTCTGATTTTAATTTCTGATTTTTAATTCTGATTTTTAATTCTATTTTTTAATTCTGATTCTTAATTCTGATTTTCAATTCTGATTGTTAATTCTGATTTCAATTCTGTTTTTTATGTAATTCTGATTTTTAATTCTGATTATTAATTCTGATTTTTAACTCTGATTTTAATTTTGATTTTAATTCTGATTTTAATTCTGATTTTTAATTCTGATTCTTAATTCTGATTTTCAATTCTGATTGTTAATTCTGACTTCAATTCTGTTTTTTATGTAATTCTGATTTTAATTCTGATTTTAATTCTGATTTTAATTCTGGTATTTAATTCTGGTTTTTAATTCTGATTTTTAATTCTGGTTTTTAATTCTGATTTTTAATTCTGATTTTTAATTCCAACTTCCGATATTGCTCTTCCTCATATCCCACTTCAATTTGATCCAGACCATTAGATTACACAATACAGAAAAAATTATTAAACAGGAAGCAAGCAAAGCAACATAAACAAGCTTGTCGCCAAGCAATTCCCCCAATGTGCAGATTGTACGTTGAGAGGGATTTTCCAAGGTATTTTGTAAAATAAGCAACATAACATAGAAAGGATATAATGACGAGAGTGTTAAAAGTGATAAAAGTGCTGTTTTCTCATTTCTGTGGTTGTACCTGTAGAATATAAGTGAAACTACCTAATTAAGATTTTCTATAATGATTTTTTTTGTTCTGATTTTTAATTCTGATTTAATATTCTGATTCTTAATTCTGATTTTTGTTCTGATTTTTAATTCTGATTTTTGTTCTGATTTTTAATTCTGATTTTTGTTCTGATTTTTAATTCTGTTCTTTGTTCTGATTTTTAATTTTGATTTTTGTTCTGATTTTTAATTCTGATTTTTGTTCTGATTTTTAATTCTGATTTTTGTTCTGATTTTTAATTCTGTTCTTTGTTCTGATTTTTAATTCTGATTTAATATTTTGATTTTCTACTTTATCTTACCAAAATGGAAAGAAAACAGCCATAGCCCTATCCAGCCCAATACAAGCAATCAGACTACTAACATTAAAAACACCATAGGATGGCAATAAATGAACAAAGAAACATGTTAACATTGAAATAGATCCTAATAATGGGTGTATAATAACAATAAAGGGAATAAACATTGATGAAAGAAGAAGAATCGTACATAACGAACAAAAGGCGATAAGTAAATGGCATGTGCTTTGTAGAGTTCTGAAGAAGTAAATTTATTCTGATATTTAATTCTGATTTAATTCTTATTTTAAATTCTGATTTTAAATTCTGATTTTATTTCCGATTTTATTCTGATTTTAATTCTGTTTTTAATTCTGATTTTTTTATATTTTTGATTCTGGTATATAATTCTGATATATGTATATATTTATTATATTCTGATTACTCTGACATATTCATTAACATTTTTAATTCAAAATCTTACTTGTTTTTAACCGTAATTATTATCAAACCAATATTCATTAAAATTCCAAATAAATTTAAAAAACAATTTAATGATAAAATAAAGATTACTGAAGTACAACTTTCTATCATTTACTGTATTATTCAGTTAATTTCAATAAAAAATAAATTTTTTTCGGTTAACTTTAAGCTTCTAAAATTGGAAAGAAAATATAAATTTAAAAATAAATTAAAAAAATTTTTCTAATTAAATCTAAATAAAATTCAACTAGATAATTATAAAACCGTAAAAATTATAAATGTAAAATATTTTTATAAAAATGATAATTACTACTAAGAATGTGTTCTCTTGCCGGCGAAAATCACCATAAAACGAAGCTAAGGCTCTTAAAAAATTTTTCGACCCTTTATTAATTATTTTAAATTTTTATTTTGGGCTCATTCGGTATCTCTTGAAATTTGCTACAAGATAAATAAAGATTTACTTTCCAGAAAAAATTATACAGAGAGATATAGTGTGGAAAAGGTCTTTCTAGCAATAAACACTTAAATGCCCATAAATTACCCTCAAAAGGAAGGTACCTCAGTTCGTAGAGGTACCTTCCTTACCTCAGTTCGTAGAGCATCGGTACCTAGCAATAACTGCCAGGAGGTCGCAGGGACCTGCCCGGGATTAAACTTGCACCTCGCTCTTACTATATCATATCCGGATTTGGCTAAATAATTTTTTTAGAAAAGAGCTCCGGCTGATATTTTATAGAATCAAATATAGATTCAAAAAAGACTCAAACTGAGCCACAAAAATTTGTTTTGTAAAATTTGTTTGCAGAATAAAAATAATTACGAAAATGTTTAATTTACGAAAATATACACATAAATGTATGTTTACACCTCCTATTTATCTTAAATATTTTTATTAGATTTCTAATTAAATAATAAAAATATTTATAGGCATTTTTGAATTAAATATAGTACCTAATTGTTACTTTGGAATAAAAAATAAAATTATTACTTCAAATTAAATTTTGCAAATTTATTTAATTTTGCATGCATATTTATTAAAATTATTTTTCGAAAAAAAAATTTTTTTAATTTTTTTAAAAAATTTTTAAAATTTTTTTAAAATTTCAAAAAAAAATTCTTGAAATTTTCTAAAAATTTTTTTAAAAAATTTTTAGTTTGCTCTCTCAATAAGCTTCATTATTAAGAAAAAATTTTTATTAATTAGAAGTAGTTTTTGTGTCACGTTAATTTTTGTAGTGACAAATACCTATTAGTGTTTTCTTGGATAAAATCAGAATTATATTTTTAGATAGAATTCTGATTTTTTGGACTTATTTTTTAAATTTTCTAAATTTTTTTATTTTTCTGGGGTTTTTTTGAAAAGGGTATACCCTCGGACATATAACACCTTCCTGATATTATAAACTCTGTCTAATATTTATTATTACGAAAACTGAGCCAATACATGAACAATTTGTTCAACTGGCTAATTTATGAATATTTTTGGTTATTTTTATTTAAAAAATGTTACTAATAAAAATAATTTTTTATAATTGCAAAAATAATAAATCTGCTACAAATAACTATGTATTGCACCCTTTATTTATATCTTAAAGCTTTTTTTCAATCTTTAATATAATAAAATTAATGAGGGGGGAGAGAGGGGGATTAAATTAAATAAGCATCAATGGTGTGCCGAAACAGATTTTAAAAAGCGAAACATGAAAGATGAAAGGTGCAAAAGTCCAAAAAAGGCGAAAATATGGTGAAAGACGAAAGTTGAAAAGCGAAACAGCACACCCCTGATATGTATAGTAAAGCAGCTGGGCTATAACTATTTCTCTCCTTTAGCTAGCACAAAAGCTAATCGGCGGCTGGGAGCGAACCAGCATCTTCAGTAGTAAGGTTGACGGTTCCGGGTATCCGGAACCGAAGAAACTCGGATATCCGGAATTTTTCGGTTCGGATATCGGTTCCGGATATCCGGAGATTTCCCAGGAACCGCCATCCTTATTCAGTAGACCTGACTTAAGTGATAGCCTTACACCACATCGCCTACTGCTTAGCCTTAGGAAATAAATAAGTAGCTATATGCTTTACAATATGTACGTATTAAGCATATACTACATATGTTGCTTTTGAATAAAAAGAATAAAAATACTAATTAAATTTATTACTAAACGAATGCCCAAAAATAAATAAAGCACACAAGGTGCAGCAAATAAGGAGCACTTTTCGTCATATAACTTTCTGCAAAATTAATGGAAATTAATAATTATTTTTTTATTTTAATCACAAAACTCTGTGAAATTTTTTGATACCAAAATCGCCTTTAAATTTAATAATTTAGGTAGTCTAATTTGGATGAGTTGGAAAAATTTATTCGTGTGCTCGAACGTTAAAAAACAGGAAAGAAATAAATGATTCTTAGTAAACTTCATTATTCATAAAATATTTTCATAAAGTTGGCGTCATTTGAGCCACGTTGATTTTTTTATTAACAAATATCGTTTTCTAAAATAAAAAATATTATGATTTTTGGTTAGATATTTTTTATTCTCACTGAGTTTTGATGTTTTTCTAGGGTAATTTGGGGCATCTGAGGGCTCTCTAATTTTCTGATGGGGTTTCTAGCTTTTCTAGTTTTTTAAAAGTTGTGCTGGGGGTTTTTCAATTTTCTCAGTGGGTTCTATTTTTTCTGGGCTTTTCTTGAGTTTCAATTTTTCGGGGAGGGGTTACCAATTTTCTTGTATTTATTCTGGGGTTTATAGTTTTTACTTGGGGTTCTCATATTTATAGGGATATTCTAGGGCATCTGAGGGCTCTCTAATTTTCTGATGGGGTTTCTAATGCCCTCTCTCCTTTCTTCTGCCCCCTTTTCTATACGCAGCTAATTCCTGCTTTTTTTTCAAGTGAGCCAGATTTTGATTTCAAAAATTAAAAATACATACTTGTGGCACAATTTTGTTAGTTTTTAATTTATAAAATAGTGAAAGCCATGGAAATTGTTTGTAAAAAGCTTGTCGATATTCTTCACTAAAATTATTTTAAAATAATTTTTTTTTGAATTTTCCTTGCCTTGTAATTAAAAGAACCATAGGGTCACTACTGGCTACAATACAAGACAAAGAATAAAATAAAAGAGACAATAACCATTTCATATATTCATCGGTTACAAACAAAAAAATAAAGACAAAAGCTAAATTGCTGATACACCACCCACAAACTTGGATAAACATTATAATCATTAATGAATGGAAAATTGCTTGACGGGCTTGGATATCTTAATTTTTATAAAAGAAATTATTTATTCTTAAACATTGCACATTGTTAACTCTCTCACGACTTTTGAGGAGAGCTACAGAACTCTTACGATCTAATGATTTTGAAAATGAAGATGTGTAATGGAGCCAGGGCTGGATGGGGTAATGGGAGGTAATGGATGGATGGGGCTGCGGAAAATTCTTTTCATTGCGTCGAGCCTGAATGGAACCCACCCCAACTTTGACAGATCTTGAATTTCCAATTTCCGAAAATCTGAGCTGATTTCCGATTTCCGAGTTCCAACTTTTGAGCCATATCAATTTCCGTAAGTTCCTATTTCCTTCATCTTCGTCATTTCCGATCGACCTCTGCTGGATAAGAGCCCTAAAATCTATAATATCAACAAACTTCCATTGGAAGCGTTCTTCTTCATATCCCACTTCAATTTAACCCAAACCATTAAATAACACAATACGGATACACATATTAAACAAAAAGAAAGGAAAGCAACATGAACAGCTTTGTCACAAAGCAATTCCCCCAACGTGCAGACAATTTGATTGGAGGGATTTTCCAGAGTGTTTTGCGAAATTAGCCATATGACGTATATTGGAAATAATGCTGAGAGTGTTAAAAGTGTTGGAAATGCTATTCTCTCATTTCTGCAGTTGTACCTGAAGATAAAAGAAGTTTAATTGGGTACCACCCGGCTCTGATCAGCTATAACTTTTAACTGCTTAATCCAATACGAATAAAGCTTATATCAGTCGAAAGCTCTCGATTGGTAGTATCTTTTTTTCGAAGTTGTCTATCATATATGAGTACTACTTGAAAAGTACGATTACTCCAACGATTTCACGAACTTTTTGAGTTGTAACTCTTAAATGGGCGATAGCCATGATCCCCCTAATGGAGTAATTATACCGCTTATCAAGGATATAAAATACATTTAAAGGGCTTTCAAAGGATATAAAATACATTTGGATTGAATCAATCGCAAGAAAGTTATAGCCTATCAAAGTCGGCTAGTACTCAGAGTATTTTGTCTAATGATAGTCCAATATATGATCAAAATTAATTTTTATTCTGATTTTTTCTAACTTCTAAGGTCTAAATTCTGATTTTCAATTCAACATTATCTTACCAAAAGGGAAAGAACACACTCAAAGCTCTATCCAACCCAATACAAGCAATCAAACTTGTAGCATTAAAAACACCATAGGATGGCAATAAATGAACAAAGAAACATGATAACATTGGAATAGATCCTAATAGTGTAGATAGAGTAACGGTTAAGGGAATAAACATCTCTGAAAGTAGAAAAATCGTACATAAAGAACAACAAGCAATAAGTAAATGGCATGTGCTTTGTAGAGTTCTGAAATAAATTAATTCTGATCTTGGAGGAAATTTTGGTATATCACACAGACACCAAACTCATCAATTAACTATATGTCATTCGAAAGAACTCGCTGAGATGAATTGAATAACTCAACCGTACACCTCAGTTAAAAACACCTCAGTAACTTAACCGTACACATCAGTTGAGTTACGAGCCCTGTAACTGTGGTATAAAAGAGCAAATAATTTTTAACATTCTTGGTACCATTCGAGAGGGAATTCGAGAGGGAATAAAATCGCATTATTTGAAAAAGTTAGCCTGAAATACCTACCCTCCCTTGAAATGCAAAAACTGTTTTTCAGCGAAAGGGAAAAATTTTTCGGGGAGTCAGCGCCACTTCGGAAGGGGGTCTTGCTCCTTACTGTTTATCAAAGTTTTCAATAATTCAAAATCTTACTTGTTTTTAAATGTAATAATTATCAATCCAATATTCATTAAAATTCCAAATAAATTAAAAAAACAATTTAATGATAAAATAATTATTATTGAAGGAGAATTTTTTACCAATGTTGGATTTAATAAAGTATTATTCATTTAATCTCAAAAAAGACTTGAACAAGAATTAATTATCTAGACAAAACAATTAGTTTTTTAAAATTATTTAGATGAATTCAAATCTTTGAATTTGAAAAATCATTTTAAAATTCAAATTCCACAAAATCTGGTCCGAATGAAACAATTGAAATCCGGAACCAGATCCGGCTTTTCACAAGTTTCGAACCCTAAAATTAATTATAGATACCTTAAAGTGTGTTGCACACCAGGGATGGAAAGGGTTTAGAAAAAGTCGGGTCGGGCTTTTAAAAATTTTTTTCGGATCGGGTTTAGGTTTGATAAAAAGTGTCGGATCGGGAAGCCCGTCACAACCCAACTTCAACCCTCATATCTTTAATAAAATAATAGAAATATTAATTTAACAATTTTAATAATTTTAGAATAAATAATTCTAATTAAAATAATTTTTACAAAAAATAAAATAATACATATCAAGGGTTTCACACGATTTTTTCGCAAGCTTTTTAAAATATACCTAAATTGTAATTTATGCGAAAATTTTAAAAATTATTTTTAGAAAAATTTTTAAACATTTTTATTGTTTCATATTTTATTTGTGTTTGATAGGGAAAAACTTTTTTTTAGATTTATTAGTTGAGGGCGCGTTGCGTTATTTTATACAGAAATTAACGCAAAAACCGAAAAAGAAGAAAAAAATGGGAAGAATTCTTGGTTCTTGGCCTTCCAAATGGAAAAATATTTTAAACAATAATTCGATCTTTAATGTAATTTTTTTAATTACATAAATAGGTAGGTATTAAATTAAATTTATTTATTAGCTAAAAATAAAAATACAAGGTGCGGCAAATTAAGAGAACTTTTTCTTTTTGTCATAATTTTCTGCAAAATGGAAACTTTTTTATTTTTTTTTAAATTAAAAAACACTTTAAAAAAACACTTTAAGCAGATTATTGATACTAAAAACTCCTCATCATTCAAAAATATTCCTCATAAATTCGTCGTCATTTGGGCCACGTTATTTTTTTTATTGACAAATATTGTTTTCTGAAATAAATTTTTTAATTATTAATTGTATAGAGAAATGATCAGTGCTGGGTATTGAGCATTTGTTGGCCCGGCCAGATCAAAACTTGGGAGGAGCCGGCTCCGGCACCGGAGCCGGGTTTGGAGCTAGCTACCATAGCGTTGGGTACGGAGCTAGCTTCCATTGGACGCATAAACTTTCAATGGACGCATAAAAGTCGATTGGACGCATAAAATGGAGTAGAGCCGATATTTTTTATTCTCACTTAGTTTTGATAGTCTTCTAGGGTAATTTGGGGCATCTGAGAGCTCTCTAATTTTCTGAGGGGGTTTCTAAAGCCCTCTCTCCTTTCTTCTGCCCCATTTCCTATACAAAGAGTAATTCCTGCCTTTTTCAAGTGAGCTAGATTTTTATTTCGAAAATTAATAGTACGTACTTGTGTGACAACTCCAACTTTATTTGTTTTTAATTTATAAAAAATTGGAAGCCATGGAAATTGTTTGTAAAAAGCTTGTCGATATTCCTCACTAAAATTATTTTAAATTAAATTTTTTGGCATTCCTTGCCTTGTAATTAAAAGAACTATCGGGTCACTACTTGCTATAATACAGGTAAAAACATTAAAGGAAGCAGCTAATACCCATTTCATATATGGATCAGTTATAAACAAATAAATAGAAACAAAAGCTAAATTGCTGATACACCACCCACAAACTTGGATAGCCATTATAATCATTAATGAATGGAAAATTGCTTGTCGGGCTTGGATATCTTAATTTTTAAAAAATTTTTATTTAAAAAATAATTTATTGGATCATATAATTCTTATAGTTTGATTCTCCCTAGGTGTTGGAGAAACAAAAGTTGTAAGGTCTTATTAGCTAATATGTATGTACCAGACTCCCCAATAATGTAAGCGAGGTTTTGGAAATGAGAAGATGTAATATCATCTTGTCTTCTTCTCCTCCTCCCCGATCAGGCACTTCAAAGATACCGGGAGGACGGTTGGGCATCCAAGTCCTAACCTTCCGTCCAAGCGTATAACTGAACTCCTAAGAGACGCATAACAGGGGGCCCTGCCACATTTTAGAAGATTGAAGCCGGAATCGTAAGAGATCCAATTCCAAGAGCTCTAATCCTCTCTCCCCCCCCCTCCCCCAAGAGCTCTCTCTATAAAAAAACCAACTTCCAAAATTGTGCTTCCTCATATCCCATTTTAATTTAAGCCAAACCATTAGGTAACATGAAATTGATACAAATATTAAACAAAAAGCAAGGATGGCAACATGAACAGTCTTGGCACTAAGCAATTCACCAAAAGTGCAGACTATTCGATGAGAGGAATTTTCCAAAGTATTTTGTAAAATTATCCAGATAACATATAATGGAAATAAGGACGAGAGTGCTATAAGGCATAAAAGTGCCTTTCTCTCATTTCTGTAGTTGTACCTTAATAAAATCATAAAACTATTTAATAGATGAAGATGTATTTTGTTTGATGTAGAGATCGAGCTGGACCTGGAGCTCGATCTCACCAGGTCTCTATCAGGTCCAGGCATTTTTTGACCTTCCTGGGGGTTTTCATGGGCAATGGGTTTTCCTGGACTACAGTCCAGATCCGGCCCAGGGCAAAAAATCAAACTCCAGATTCCAGGAACAAGTCCAGGCTTTTCAAAAATCTCGATCTCTAGTTTGATGATAGTCCAATTCATTAGTAAAAATAATTCTGATTTTTGTTTTGATTCTTAATTCTGATTTATCTTACCAAAAGGGAAAGAAAACACTCAAGGCTCTATCCAACCCAATACAAGAAATCAAACTGGTAACACTACAAATACCATAGGCTGGCAATAAATGAATAATGAAACATGTTAACATTGAAATAGATCCTAATGATGAAGCTAAAACAACAATTAAGGGAATAAACTCTGCTGAGAGAAGCAGAATCGTGCATAAAGAACAATAGGCAATAAGTAAATGGCAGGTGCTTTGTAGGGTTCTGAAATAAATTTATTCTGATTTTTAACATTTAATTCTGATTCCATCTGATAGTCAGAATTCTGATATTG